AAACGCATGTTAAATCACTCTGAAAAATGGCAAAATCCACAAACTATTAAAAAAGGGCAAAATCCACAAGTGTCATTTAAAAAAATGGCAAATCCGTAATTGATTCATAAATAAATTAATTAAAGCTTAATAATTATGAAATTTGAATTACATTTACTATGTTCATTGTTTTTTCTAATTTCTTACTACTTGTTTAGTATATTATTTCTAATTATTTCATATGATCCGTTCATTTCGAAGAGACCATTCACATGTCACCATTCAAACCCTAGATGATAAATTAAAAATTTATAATAGGTTTAACTAATTTAAGATGTCTAAATTTTTTAAAAAAATTGTTGACAAAATTCATGACCACTTTTCCGGATGTGTGGGACATTTGTGTTCTAATTAAACAACTCATTTCTTATGAAATAGTTTACATCATACATCATGCTTATGGATTCACCCAACACACCAACTGCTACTCCTATAATCCTATTCAACAACATGCATCATGGGATTTCATTTCAATTATTTGTTTGGTATAAACAAAACATCAACATTTCATTTTCCTTCACCCAATAGTGTCGCAAACATTCTAACAAATCCAAATGATTTATTGAAACTATAAAAATTTTTGTTACAGCCACCTGATTACATGTCTAAATAGTAAATACTGATAGCCATATTTAAAGTTCATTCCATTTGAATGACTATCTTTCTCTCGAGCTAAAAAAATTATACACGAATCTTAGGAATCATCACTCATAAATAGCTCATTCAAATAAATCTTGTAGCGAACCGAAGCAATTTTTTTTTTAATGAAATATTGAACTTTATACATGCGTAAATATTAGATTTAATCGTCCCAAGCAAGCAGGGAATAAAGCGTGCTTAGTAATTGCTTACACAAACAATTGATTTCTTTCTTTTTTTTATAGTGATAGAAACGGGAAAACAGCATTTTTCATCCTCAACTATTTACTGGCGGGTTTTTCTAACTCAAACTATGATCCCAGTCGATTTCAACCAAATCCAAAAATAATTCAAAACCGAAACCTGAACCAATGCAAATGAGCTGATTTCAACACGACGCGAAACGATGTTAGTTCGGAATTTAAAAGTTGCTCAACCTTGGGTAATTCTCTCTACGGCATTCAGCAAACCCTAAAATAAAAATCAAATAACCTTGAAAATCGTTAACTTTCGAACTAACACTGTTGAGCAACTTTTATATTTCAATGGGAAAGTGATAGAAACTTCAAACTTTTGTCTCCTCGTTTTGAAAGTTGAAACCTTTAAACCTCGTTTTCTCTTTCTTCTAAATTCCGACCTAAGAAAAGAAGAAGAAGCATATGGCATTGCTTCATAAACCGGAAACCCACCGGATGAATCCAAGTGTTTGAAACGGTCCCCTTTGTTAAATAGCAACTAATCATAGAGAAATGATGACACATCTCTCTCTTTCTTTATTTCACTCTTTCACTCTTTTGTCTCATTTCTTGTAAGAATATCAATTTAAAGCTTGTTGTCTTTTTATGTTGCTATGTCGCTCTCTCACCGATCTGTTCCTCCTCGTTCGGTCCTTTTTTTCTCCACACTCTCTGCAGAAAATTTCAAAAGACTTTGCAGATGATGATGCTATTGACAATGAGAATGAAAACGGTGCAAGGTTTCAAACATCCACATACAGAAGAATTACAGATCAAGACTGTACAAAACAGATGGATATAGATTGCGACAAAGACCGGCACTACAATTCAAGATGCAATTACTAAACGGACCGTGCTTTGTGGTCCTGTTTCTCTATCAATAATCAGAAAAGAACAAAGACAATGTTAAACTATCCTCGAGAGTTGAGTCTATCTATGTTGGATTAGTTTTGGTAATATCTCAGGCCCATTACTCATGAATGGTTGGTTACAATAGGCTTGGTTGATTCTCTTCAACAAAAGCCACATCATTTACTTCTCACGTTCTAAACTAAACAATGAGACTTTCCATTAACAAATCTCATCATCAAAGATCCTCCAATTTGATACCATAAACACTTGGCAATGTCAAACACTAGTGTATCTGATCTATAGGCAATACTTGTACAGAGAAAAAGTTAAAACATGAAAATAAAGTTACAGAAAGATCTTGTTAACAAATAATGATACTCGGAACAATCCATGGCATAGCATAAGATGATAAGCAAGTGGAAAATAAAAGAACATAGTACCTTAAAATTATTTGCCAGTGCACCAGGTTGATGAAGACAGTTAACTGGTGAATGGTGTTACATGTAAACAAAAGGGAACAGCGGGAAATATTTCTGACCAAAATTTTAGAATCAAATCCCCAGAGACCAAAAAGACTTGGGAGGAATGTAAACTAAAACTGGAGCTAAGCAGAAGCAGCCAAAGGTTTTTCTACAGTAGACTCGTTAGGTTTCATGGTATTGAAGAGTTCTAGAACATCCGGATTGTTACGGATATAGTTTGGGCACAGAGAGAGTAAATCTTGGGCTTCACTGTGTCTTGCAGACTTCATCATAGTTTCGAATACACGCAGAACCACTGACATAGATGGAAAGTTCTTCGAGGTCATAGCCTTCAAAAAACCGAGAGCTTCTGTGCTTTTTCCAGTTGTTGAGAAGTAACTCATGAAAGGGTCAATGAAAGGAGGGAACCCGTGATCTTTCATTATCGGTAGAAGACTCAAAGCTTCTTCAAACCCACCATCCCTTGCAATCTTCTTCGTCAATAGATTCGTCACCAAGATTTTGTACGTGCTATGACGAGGTTTCAGCTGATTTTTCTGTACTTGTGCACTCAATAGCTTGTATGCGTCTCTTACTTGATTCTTGTTGCAATAAGCAAGAACCAACTTCTCAAATGCATAATCAGCATAGAAGGCTGCCGCGTATCCAACCATTTTCTCGAAACACACTAAAGCTTCATCAAGATCCCCCGAATCACAATACCCTTCAACAAGAGAAGCCATTGCCTTGTCATCTAGATTATTTCCGGATGCTTCCATAAAGTCTACAAATTCATCAGCTTCGTCCTTCTTTCCCTTACGACTAAGACTTGATGCAATCATGCTCTGCATATCACTACTAGGAACATAGCCTCCTTTCTTCATTTCTTTCAACAGCTCAGTGCTCAGTTCAACCCTATCCACGCTTCTCAAGGACTTTAAGACGGATTTTAGCAAGGAATCCGTCATAGCATTACCATTTCTGGTATAAGCTTTCAGAGCTCTTGAAAACAAATCCATATCTAGAATCTTGGCAGTTACAATTTTCTTGAGCAACAAACAGAAGCACTGTGGGGTGGGTTTGTTACTACTACTACCTGCCATTGCAATCTCAAACAAGTCGACTGCTTCCTTGATCAATTTAGTCTGGCAGAACCTTGTTGAAACTCTAACATAAGTCTCTATTTCCACTTCATAACCAACACTCCTCATCTCTTCAACGATGTTCTGAAATCTATCGAGAAATTTCTCTTTTCCCAAAACCCTAGCCATAGCATTATAGGTTTTCTCATCATTCTTAAAAAGACCAGACTCATCAATCCACCGGAAGAACAACAAAGCTTTCCTAGGTACAACATCAAGACTTTCCACAATCATCTTCACTAAATCACTCTTAAACTCAACATTCAAATCTCTCACCCGTTTCTCCACATCATCACCCCATTCTTCCTTCATCACAATCTTACACACTCTATCGCAAACATTCTCCGCCGAACTATCTAAACAATCTGAAGCAAAAAGCTTTCTCAGTCTCACCAAATCACTCTCCAGCCCATCTTTCTGAAATTTCTCACCTACTTTATCTCTAACATTAGCCGATAAACCATGTCCTTTCTTCTTCATCACATCAACCAACCCCCAAAACTCATTGACAAGTCCATTACCACCCAGAATACGCAGCATCATGTTATAATTCTTCGAGCTAAGTTCCTCAGGAGAAGCCTCCTTAATCCACTGGAAAAACCTTTTCGCAACATCAGGGTTTGATTCGAGCTTTCTCAAAACCTTCAAAGCTAAATCATGGCTAATCACTACATCACTCGATTCCAACTCTTTCCTAATATCATCCTCACCACTCAATCTGCTGAAGATATCAATCACGATAACCTCAGCAGAAGATTTCTCTTCAACCGCAGGCTCAGACGAGAAGCTTCGACCCACTGATATCCCAAAGGATCCAGAGCTCTTCATTGGGGATCGTAAGGAACCAAGTTGTTCGCTTTGTTGCAAAGCTCCAATCCTAGAACGTAGGTGAATGAAAGAAGAGAAAGATCGCGTTGAAATGGAGGTTACCTGAGAACAAGGAGAAGGATGAGATCGATGGTAGGTACGAAGAAGCAGCAATCGCCATTGTTGATATCTCATCTCGGATTTGATCTGGGTTACCGAAAATACCAAAGGCTATCGGTTATTGGACTTGATCTGAATCAAAAAGCTTGATCCTTTAGGAAGAAACGAGAGACGGAGGAACAGCGATTGCGAAGCTCTGGGAAATGTTAGGGTTTTAGTGAGGATTTTGATTTGATTTGAGAGGAAATGAGACCATCTAATTCAGAGAGAAGGTCCCATCGCAATGACGATAAAAAAAAACTTACGATAATTCGATTTTAGCCCCTAGTTTTATTGTAGTTTCCAGTTTTCTGCCATATACTTTTAATTGGATCAGTATTTCCCATGACCACGCATGATTTGGAACTAGTAAGGAAAAAAATCATTGCCTTCATTTATTAATATCTATTTTTTTCTTAATATCCTTAGGAAGTTTTTAATTATTTTCTGTGTTCTCAATTTGGGTACTTTTAAGAATTATCTCTGCCTTAATTTATGATATTTATTGATTTTTAATATCTTTTTGAAGTACTTATTTTGGTGGGTTTTTTTTTTCTATGAACTTATAATTCAATTTAATCGAATTGAGAAAGTGATGAACACTATTAAGAGCATTAAAAATATAGAAAGGATAAAAACAAAGTTGTTGGAACTTAAACTAGATGTTGTTGGAACTTAAACTAGATGTTGTTGATTAACCCGAAGCTAAAAATACATAAACATCCAAACATACATTTAAAGGGAGAAGAAACATTAAAACATTACAACACTAAAGACAACAACAAGAAGTACGATTGAATATGAGAATCAATTATGACTCCCAAGTTTATTTAAAATCCCAACAATTAATTAGATTAGATAAGGGAAATTATATATAACTCCCAATTTTGACTCGAATCGCTACTTGTTCATGCCGGTCTTCTCCTTCACGAAGTTAACACCTCCAGCTGCCGCATCCGATATACTCTTTCCCGCCTAAAACATATACATAAAAACCATATAAAAACATCAGAAATCTGCCTACATGTAAGCTTATGAAGACGTCTATTTCTTTAGATATATGTCAAAATGTGTGTGTATGGATCGTTTACCTGTTGGGCGGCAGTTCCAGCTCCAGCAGCAGCATCCTTGGCCTTGTCCAGAAGAACATTGCTCTTCTCCTATAACCACCATGGTCAACACAAAATCAGTAACATAATTATGACAAACTAAATCAAACAAGAAAATGAAAATTTTTCAGTTTTCCAATTTTTTTTCAAAGAGAGAAAGAGTACCTCAGCTTTGCCAGTGGTCTGACCGGCTTGGAAGGCAGTCTTGTTGGTCTCTGACATTTTTTTCTCTTGTAAAATCGTTTTTGATATGTGTTTTTTGGTAGTGAAGATGATGAGAAACAATGTGGGCTTAAGGGTTTGTATTTATAGGCCAAATGGAGATACGTGTGTGATGCCACGTGTAATCTGAAACCACGTGGATTACGTTTAATGGTACGATCAGTTTTGCCTTATGTCGGTAGCTTTTTATTGGCTGTTTAAGACTTCACGTGTCGTTTTAGTTTTGGTAATATCAATTTGATATTATAGGATATATATGTGATATTATAGGATATATATGTGAAGCCATGACCAAAAAAAAAAAGGATATATATGTGAAGACTCTTTCTGTGTGGTCCTCTCGCCTCCGTGTTTTATTATATTTTTTGTTTATTTACTAAGATGAGTCTTTCAAAATATCTCGAATCCTCTATGTATGTTATAGTAAAGATTTTTTTTTTGTTTCTTTTAACAATGTTATAGCTGCTCTACCTATGGCTGTAAATAGAAATATGTAACGTGGCTTTGTAGCATATGCGTTTGGCCGTGTTATTATTATTGGCGAAGAAATTAAAAAAAAAAAACTTTATTATTTTTTTAAAATGGTGCGTTGTAGAAGGGGGAAAAGTTATATGGTATGTTTGGCAAGTTAAATGTTGTGTTTGCCGAACCTCCCATTTTTTCATGTTTTTTTCTTTAACAAATTTTGAAAAAGTTTATATAAATTAGTTTTATGAATTGGTAACTTTCTACTCATATTCAGTGTTTGGAATTAATGGAGCCATGTCATATAAACTGTATTATTTGTTGGTTGCAACAAGACATGGTTTTGATGTCCGATCAATAAGTCGGGTTGAGGCGGCGATGCGCCCATGGTCTCGATGGTGCGGGGACGGTTACGGATACGGATACGTCATTTGGCTCTAGAGTATGAAGTAATTCTTTTATGGACCAACTTATATATTTTTACTTGAGTTTATGTTTGCCAATCCAAACAGTTATAATTGAATTAGAGTTACATATATGAACTTTTATTCTTCATTTTCTCATTGTATTATGAATGACCTGCATCCAGTATTAAAACTATAAAAATATGTATGGAGTTTTCTTTGCGCTTTTTATTAGTCATCCCATAGCCATTATAACAATATATAGAACTCATCTCATTAGCAGAAGTGAAATTCCTGGCAATCTATTTTTCTTGCGTAAAACAAATCTGTATCAAAAGAATTTGGTTTTATCATTTGAGATAATTAATTATAACAATTAGCTATTTTCAAGAATTATACCTGTTGATTATGAATCTCATATCATCCAAGTTAAACTAAAATACTCCCTCCGTTTCGTTTTAGTTGTCGTTTAAAGTTTTTTCACACAAATTAAGAAAATCATTAAATTTTCTGTTTTACCCTTTATTAATATACTTTATAAAAAATTTCATTAGCCAAAACATTAAAACAGTAGGGATAAAACTTGAATTTTCACCAAACATTTACATTGAAAACCTAAAACGATAACTATTATGAAACAAAATTTAAATCCTAAGACGAGAACTAAACTGAAACGGAAGGAGTATTGCGTTAGGTGATGCTATAATTAAGGAATCAAATCGGATAAACTCAAATTGGTTTGATAGTCCCATGTAATGGTCGCGGTTACGTGATTTCCTTTGTATAATGGAGATTGGAGAGGTGGCTCAGAAACTAGCCAGACCTTTAGTGTGTTTAATAATTATAGGAAATGCCTTTTTAGAAAACTTCAATACTAGCTGTCAAAAAAAAAAAAAAAAAAAAAAAACTGTAAAAAAAAAAAAGAAAACTTCAATAATTCGGATCGACTTATGTGTTGAGATCCAATTTAATATCGTTTGGGGAGTTTGATCTCTCACATAAAGAATAATAATAATAATAATAAAAAAAGAGAGTTGATAAATCGATATTTAGTACACCATTTTTTTTGTTTGCTTGGAGCCATCACATTTTTAAGATCGGCTACGTATGTATAAGTTTAGCTCGTCTATCCATTTTATATATATAAAAAATGCAATTCTTGATCATTTGTTATACTATAACATTTAATTTGAAGTAAAAATTGTAAATAGAAAAAAAAAAACACGCATTGTGTTTACTTTTTAGTGAATGTCTTTGAACAAATACTAAAAACACGTACAAAAAGATAGAGAAAAAAATGAATGACACCATATTCAAAAATTACAAGTTCTCTTTTTTTTTGTTTGGTAAGCAAAATTACAAGTTCTCTTACAAAAAGCATGTTGATATATAGACCACAACAATATCATGAACTAAATTAAATTACAAAAAGATGATAATTTATCCTGCATACTCAATCGAAAACACGTTTCTTGTCTTGTTTCAGTTAGAATAAAAACGTAGTGATTCTCTATGAAAACAACGTCGTTTCAATTGTATGAACAAGGAAGACTGCAATATCTATATAAGCAATATCTTTTAAAAACTAATTACAAGTAGAGAAGCAATTATTAAGTTTAAAAAACAACACAAACTGTTTTCGAATACTAGATTCATAATTCATTAAAAAAATTTACATATAATATTATAAATATATATCATAGTAATTCATATATAATTTATATAAATTTATATCATATATATATTAAGTTTAATATATCAATTATATTATAAAGCACAAGTCACTTGACCAGTAAAATTTTGACAAATGGCCTTTTACTTTAAAATTTAAATAATTAACAAAAATATAAAAAACAAATCAGAGAATGTGATACAACTGCTTAAGATTTTCTGTTTTTAAATTTTCAAAATAAATTACAACAAATAATATGCTATAAATTCCTAAATTTTCTAACCACATATCTAATGATCGTTATGAGAAAGTCTTAAAATCACTCTCAATTTAATTAACAACTCATTATTTTAATTTTATGTGTTTCACACATGTATATATTTTAAATGTATTAGTGATTTTTAATGTCTTAGTGATTTTTTAAATGTATTAGTGATTTTTTTACGTATTTGATAAACCAATAATAATATTTTTTTTATTTTATTATACTAAAATAAAATTCCAAAAATTAAATTTCCGTACAAAGTACGGGTCTAATCCTAGTATATATATTGATAAGTTTATATAATTATTAATTTATAATATAGATGAGACCATATGTTTATAAAAGATTTTCAAGAAAAATATTATCTTATTAATTTATCGATTTATGTCATATTTTATACTGGTTCTAACTCGGGACCAGAATATTTTATTAATTTAGAGAGGTTATTAATTTATAGAGGTTTTACTGTACTTCTCGAAGGAACTATGAGTATAATGAGGTAAAACTTCTCTATCAAAGCTGCCATTGATCGCACTATGTGGGATCGTCTTCTTTTCATTTTCTTCCAAGGATCACTTTGGTTGTTTTTTTGATAACCCAGTGTCCAGACCACACTGTGATCCGACTAGCCCACTGGGCCTAAGCCCGCGTTCCTTGGATTTTTAAGCCTCCACTTAAGGGCCCCTCGGATCTGGTGGTCTGGGACGCTGCGCCCCGTAGGTAAATTGCGCAGTGGCCGGGACTCAAAGCCGGGTGGCGGGTGCCTCAGCCGAGGTTCCTATACCACCAGAAGACAAGCACCCGGTTATCACTTTGGTTGTTTCTCGCATCCATTGTAATATTTTAAAGATATCGTTCCTCTTTTGTATCTCTCCAATAGGGAGTTGATGGGTTGTTAGTTTTAGTTTTAGTATGTATGAATCCCATTTATTTTTTGGTATAAAATTGAACATTAACAAAACCAAAAGAAAAACTGACTACCAAAAAAAAAACCAAAAGAAAAACTATGAGGTTAAACTAAACAAAGCCCTTTTTATAAGACACTAAAATCATGAAAATGATCATAATAATAGATACTTGATTCATAATATTTCGATCATCCGAATTCAAATAGACCACAGAGACAATCAATCACTGGTTTAAGGGAAAAAAGAAGAAAAAATATCCATAACACATTAATTATTCAAGAAAACAAAATTAAAAACTTGAGCTTTAGATTCCCTAGTCCTCCTTCTCGTCCTCGCTGTTGCAGCTACTGTTGCTGCTCCACTCACATTTCAAGGTAGATCTCGGAGAACCACAATACTTTCCAAGCTTCTCAAAGCTCTGATACATCACTGTTCCTCTCTCTTCTCCTAGAGACTCCATTGTTGTCTCTCTGCATCCGTAATCGTCTAGGTCCACACAGAGAACAGAGTCATACCCATTCTGTGCGACGCTAGAGTGGACAGCTACAGAGAATTGCTTTGGCTCGAAGCAAGTTAGTACCTTTGAGACCAGATGGCTCAAGTCCATGGTTGTGAAGTCGTATCCCACTGCTTCAAAGCTAGCGTAGCTGAAACCATCTTCTGGAGTCACATGGATGGTGGAGATTGCGTCACCTTCGATGCTGTTCATTGAGTAGCCACATGGCTCAAACTCAAAGTCACAGATTTGGGATTGAGGAAGTATCTTTCTGATGCCAGAGTTATCAGTCATAGAACCAGCGGAGCTTGAATCGTTCTTGAAGAAAACAGATGCCTTGTCTTTGTCCAGACCAGTCATACACATCTCGAGCGTGTAGACATTGTTGTTGTTGTTGCTGTTGGCAGAAGAAGCAGAGTAAACATGCCATTTCTTGGTTTCATCGTCATTGCCCATCAAGTACGCAACACTGCTCAAACCCAGCTTAGCAAAGTGACCATCAAGAACAGAGACTTCTTCAGAGAAGTTGCGGTGAGGGAATGGCTGTCCTCCAGGACAGAGGAAGCTTCCACGAGTGTACCTCACTGCCTTGACGTCAAGAGAAAGCTCACAAGCTAACCTCAAGAGTGGCTCAATAGAGAGGAGGAGCTTAGTAGTCCCACAAGTCTTGATGACAATCTTGTAAGGGAAGATAAAGAGACTGGACTCAGAGAGAACATAAGAGTCAAGCTGATCGTTCGAGAGAGATGAAACGATAGTGCACTCAGCTGGCTGAAGAATCTCATCGATCTGAGATTTGGTCAAGGCACGTAGACCTTTACCTTGAGTGTCAAGAAAGAGACCAGGCTCAAAGAAAGTGACTTCAAGACGCTTCTCGTAGCCTTCGAACCCGATAGCAGACATGGCCATCACGCTTTGTTAATGTAAAAAAGACGTCTTTGAAGAAGAGAACGAGAGGAGTTGGGAACCAGAGCTTTGAAATGAAAAGGAGATTGTTGTAATTGAAAAGCTATGGAGGAAATTGGCTAGTACTCAGGAAGGCCTCTTAGCGCAGTTAGAGTAGACAGAAGATTTGAATTTCTTGATTCCACCGTAAGGACGAACGTCTTCAATGCTGTAACCAAGTGGTGCTTCGTAAAATAAGGAACTTGTGCTTGACTTCTTATTACCACCTTTCGATTCCATCATAATCTCATTCACGCTTTTTCTGTTTTATTTAGAACAAAAAGTACTTAGATACTTTATTATGAAGATGCAAAATTTAATTAAGAGTAATCATATAAACACATAACATCTGCTACTTTTTCCAACAAATCCAGATACCTAACATTTTTTCATCACATCTATGTAACATACGAGATAATAATCAAACCCTAAATTGATGTTTCATGATTAGAGACTTACATGTAAAGGAATATTGATCACGATCCTGAGTTTATAATTCTCTTGTTATTGATCCAAGATATGAAACGAACGAAAACCTGAAAACAAAGTCAACAAAAGCCAGATTAATCAGCTGATCAAAACCAACATAATCTCAGATCTACGACGATAATCAAAAAGCTTATGAGAAACAAACCTTAATCAGGTGATTGAGAAAACTCGAAACCCTAAATATTAAGAGAGCCGCTTATGATTTGGTAATGATGAAAAGAGAGAGGAAACGAGTTTGAGATATTGTAGAGAAGGTAGAGGAGAGACTTGTTTATATATAGTGTCCAGCCCAGATGCGTTGTGAGGCTATTAGGGCTCGGACTATTTACGTATTTACCCTTTTTAGTTTGTTTACTAAAATACCCCTACCCTTTTTTATGTGGGAATATTTTAGGTGCGAGATTCGCGACGATTCTTGACCACAAATCCATTTACAGCAATAAATCTTTTTTCTCATGCTATTTTTGTTAAAAAATAATTTAAAATATGAACGAATCTTAGGATGACACGTGTATTTTTCGAAGCAGCCACGTTGATACTCGACGATTTCTGACCACGAAAAAGAAAACAGAGATAAATTCGTTTTAATTGTTGGTATATTTAATATACTACTTTTTTGTGAAAATGTATTTAAAGATTTATACTATATAATACTGTAATACGTTTAGATCTCCGAGATAGGCTAGGCCACAGAAACACTGCAGCGAATTAAAAGACGACACGTGTGATGTGTGAGACGACACGTTCAAGAATTCGATACTCACAAGAAAGAGACAGGTAGGTGCGGAGTAATAGTGGGGCCCAGAGAATCAAATTCTCTTTTACTAGGCTCTTCCTTTTAGTCTTTATATAATGACTGAAATGACCCTGTTACCAAATACCCCGTGACTCATTTTCAATTTGGTCAAAAAAGTGTAAATGTGAATGAAAAGTAACCAATCAATCAATATACACTTTTCAAAAAGTGTATAATTAGATTAGTCTCCCTAATTCAGTTCACCTAAAACAGTACTCCCTCTATTCCTAAAAAAATTGATGTTTTAGAATTTTCACATATATTAAGAAGCAATCATTGTTTAATTATTTGTCAATTACTTTTTTATATTAAATATTTTTAAATAACTTTGAACCAATAGTATTAGAAAACAGTTAATCATTACGTCTTAAAGTTTACGATATATTAATTTTAATCAATAAAAGTTAAAACAAAAACCTAAAAAATCAAACTTTGTGAAACAAACTAAAACTCTAGAACATCAAATATCTAGGAACAGAAGTAGTATTATTCAAAATCTGGCGTAAAAACGATCTCTAAAAATCAAATTGGTAAACAAACAACTGTGTTAACATGCAATTGCCATTTTTACGTTTTCTTAGGATGGTTGAATGTAATCGTATAGCAATATTTAATACAATAAACAAAGATATGCTCTACAAAATTTCAGTACATTTCTTTCATATAGTTTCTCATATTCATGAGATTGACTGGATTCTTAAATAAAAGATATATTCTAGAGACTCTTTAATAATTAGTTGTTTTGATGAAGAAGATGCAAGTGCAAGTCATTGAACAAATCACAAGAGATTTCCCAGAGTTGTTTAGCAAGTCTCGGGTCTCTAGAAACTTGTGATGATTCAATGGTCCTTCCTTTTCCTCCAAAATAGTAAGCACCTGATGTTTCCTGCATATCAATAACATGTTTTGAGTATCATGTAAGTAAGAAAAGCAGATCATAGATGAAGAGGAGACAATCAACAATCCATTATTTATATAACCCATGTGGATAAAGCGGCATCGATGATAGATTCAGCTCCATCATCTGGGGATTGCAGTAGGCCAAGAATTCTGAAGCCAAGAAACACCATGGAAGTTATGTAACAAGGAAGCTCTCTCATTATATTCGTTTTCACAAATCCTGGATCAGCAGCTCTGTATTCAACAAGAAAAACTCACAACTTAAAATCACAATCTTTAAAGAGTGAGAGAGTAATAAATTTAGAGAGCAATGATGCATACATTACAGAGACATGGCGTGAGTCGTCTAAGAGCCGAAGCTGTCTGTGCAATTCATATGAGAACAGTAGAAGACATACTATTCAAGAACATTAAGCCAAAATTCAGAAAGAAGAAAACTCAATATATATATGTGCTTTCTAAGTGACTGTGAGAGGTATTGGCTTACATTTAGAATACTCGTAGATTCGAGCGCAAGGATATTGGTTTGATGTAGAAAAACATACTCCAGTTACAGAGTCCTTGTTGAACTTTTGAATGAAAGCTACAGAAATAAATAGATATCAAGTCACTTAAGCTAGTCTTTCATGGTTTTTGTTAGAGTATATCACTAAATTTTACCTGAACGATGTGTGAAAGATGTTACGTTAACGACCCGTGAAGGAACGTAGCTATTTTTCAGAAGTGGCAAAAGAAGTTTGGTCAAAGAGAATGGACCAATATAGTTTGTAGCAATCATCCTGACAAAGAGGAAGACAAAAAACAAAAGCAGTTATGAAATATCAAATCCATAGTCTAATACATAAGTTATTGACAACTGAAAACATAAGATTTGATCAAACCAGACTTACCTGTCATAACCATCAATGGTTGGTCGACTAGAAGTTGCCAATATCCCAGCATTGTTCACCAAAAGCTGAATCGAAGGATGTAACTCTGAGTCCGATAGCCATTGCTCTAGAGAGTTTTTAAACTTGAAGATTGATTCAAAAGAAGAAATGTCAGCTTCGAAAGACTTGAGTTGAGCATCTTTGTTCTTGTTCTTAATTTCCTTCAATGTCTGTCATAAGCCAAGAAATTTTTGCATTAAAGGATAATGTGAAAGAGAACATCGACAAAGCGGAAACAAAAGGATTCATAAATAACCTCTGAAAGAAGCTGAGAGGACCGTCCAACTGAAAAAAAAAATCAAGAAAGATGTCATCCCATTAGTCCACAGAGAACTTAATGAAGAAGAATGGCAAGTTTGATGAACCATTGTGAATTGTAAGGCTTCTCTTTGTGATGGGAAACTATATTTTCCTATACCGATACATTAGTATTTTAGGAAGCGATGGATCATAGATGTTTATTACCAAGAACAACGTAGAAACCCTTCTCTGCAAGAGCAAATGCAGTGGCCTTACCAATCCCAGAAGTAGCCTGAAATCAAAAACCATATACACAAAATGCAAAACATAAGAAATCTACATTTAAAACTGGAGGCATTACAACATGACATAATCAAGGCAATGATTCACACAACCAGTGATGTAACAAGAATAGGTAGTAGATTTTTGAACCATTGTTGTAAGCAAATTTCCAAGTAAACAGTACTTCACTTACACCAGTGATAACACAAATGGGTCTCGAAGATCCATTATGTGGATTGATGGAGCAAGAAATAGGAGTAGCTTTTGAGCCAAAGACCCTTGCTCTAAGCAATTGAAGATAAGAAGAAACAAGAGCGATACTCCAGAACAGAACCATCCTCCAACATTCAGATGAACATACAAAACAAAAAGCCTCCTTTACCTCTTTCATCATCTTCTGTAAAAAAAAAAAAAAAAAAAAAAACATCTCAAAAATTGTTTTGTATTTTAACTACCAGAATTCAGTTGAGAAATTATCATCAATGGATACTACTTTTCTTACATATATCTGAATATACTAACCTGAGATCCAAAATGAATCAGGGAATTGCAAAGACTTCAAACAAAACTCGAGAAACTTTGAAGAGTAGGATTCGGATTTGAATTCGAAATCACTACACGACGATCACAAAGCCACGCATATGCAAAGACGTAAGAATTAAATGATTCAAGTTTGCTCAAATTTGACTTTTGCCCAAAAGAAAGGAGAATCTAAAAGTTGAGTCGAAATATATTTTTTATTACACAAGAAAAAGTTCTATTGTTTTTACTTTTCACACGAGTTGTACCAAAAAAAGAAAAGAGAAAGATTAAAATTTGCACAAAAAGAATGAGAAGAATCTTCGAGAATTCGGTTTCCGGTTTGATTCGGTTCAAGAATATCAAACTCTATTGTTAAACCGGTTTGGCCGTTTGAGCCGGTTTAGATACGGCCTTGTCACAATCCTGTTTCATTTCTTCCAAACGCTTTGATACCTGGAGGAGATTCATAACAAAATTAGACAGTGACACAGAGCTTCAATTTCAAGTATCTAAAGGAGATATAGCTTTTTAGTCTTTGAGACCTTAATGGAATAAGCCAATGGAAGCAAAGTATCAGGATCCATGGCATCTTCAGGGAAATTCCTCAGAGCATGCATGAGTTCCTCAAATGGCAATTTCAACAAATCATCATGGCAATGCTTCAATAACGCTAAACCAACTTTGAACACGATCTTAACACCCTAAGCCGGAAAAAGAAACACTAAGATACCATATGCTACTAAAGAAAGAGACTTTTGAGATTATAGGATGTTGATTTTAAAAGTACCTCAGCTAGAAACACATCCCAGATTCGTAGTGCCGAATGGAAAGGAAATGAATACGAAAAGACGGTTATGAACCATTGACTTGCATACATACTTGGATTGATCATTTCTTGAGTGAAATGTTCTCCTAGTTTCGGCATCAGCTCTCTTACCAGCATATCAAACTGTAACAGATATTGCTGTACAAGAGGAAGCCCTGCCTACATTTACACAAATCAAATACATATTAAATCATTAAAATTGTCTAAGGAATTGAAATTCTGTTTTCAAGCATAATGTTCCAAAGAGCTACTATCATAACTTCAGCGAGAAGCTCGTTTGACAGAGAATGAAGCGCTAATCTTGAAGACTAAAAAGTCTCTCTACAGGATAGTTGACAGAGAATCTGAAAAAGCAGTCATAAACTAACTAACTGATCAAGGAAAGGATTTATTTTTATCTATTTGACTTTATGTCATTTTCTTACTATCCCTCAAACAATCAAAGAGGCTCTAATCTATCATTATCAAACTCGCGTAACTAAGGAGGAAAGTAGCTAGCATATCGGTATCTTCTACAGTAAAGAAAGCACCACCTGATACAATCCCTCTATTGGGGAGTGAACAGCTCCTTTGAGTAATGCAACCAATAACCAGAATGCATCTTCTTCGCTCATATAAAGAAGCAACAAACCGGCTATGAAACCCATTCCCTGCAAAATGTTTTTAGAACCATGAGTCTTTAGTAATTAGTACCATCTTAGGGAAATAAGAAGAGAGGAAAAAAGTCTCTGGAAATACCTGAACATATCCAACATCTCTGTCATAGACAGAGTATGCTTTTAGAACATTGTATAATGATCTTTGGCCTGGTCCATGTCTCTTCTGGAAGAAAACATGTGATGGGAAAGTACGAGATATATCCCGAATGATATCGAGTTCTGATGCTGACGTCTCATAAATAACCAGTTGCTAACAACGAAATCAAGAGAATTCTCAAAAAAAAACTCTTTCCAGCAATGAAGCCAAAGAAAATGAATAACAAAACACACAAGGAGATTATAAGTTATTACCACATAAACACCGGGATTCATAAGCAAAAGGTCTCGACTTCCAGAGATCAGTTGCCAAACGAGACCCCTTAAGCAATCAGGGATCCCTTTTCGAATCCGCCTCTTGACAACATGAGGTTTTCTCCTAACGTAATGCTTCCAATCACTACCACCAGTTCCAATCATCTTCCTCCATTTTGTCACTCTTCTCTCCTCCCTAAAGGAATTTAGCATCCATGGTCAAATAACAAAGCACAATATACTGGTCCTCAACAACAACAAAGCACAAAACTATTAACTTTTTCACATTTTTCATTCAGACATACTTGTCATAGTTACTAGATGATTTAGTCTTGGTGAAACGTTGAGGAGAATTGCCATGTTCCTGCTTCAGAAACCCGAATCTATCAACCGGTACAAGCAGAGGGACTGGTCCTGGGTCACTGTCCTTTGTTCGTTTCCTCTCCATTTAACTAACCTGAAAAAGACCAACATACTCAAAAAATCTGAAAATCCCCAACATCGTGATCAAGTAATGAATCAGACATAAAAGCTACATTCAAACTCAGATCATCATCTACGGAAGAAAGAGATATACTCATGGTGATCAGTTCTTTAACACAACGACGATCCAGAAAGAACAAAAACAGAGAAAGATTGTCGGGAAAAAGCGAAACCCACCAACATTCCGGTGTCAGATCAAGAGGGTCGTATCCAAAATCTTAACTTTCGAAATGAAATAAGGCGATCAATTCAAAGGAGTCGCGTATTCTAAATTTCCCAGCAAAATTGAAATCTGAAGAACAATGGAGCTATGAATTAGAAGGAAAATAGAAAGGAGACGTTGAACTTGGAGATCACATCGATCATTCAGACGCGTACCATCACGTTCCAGATATATATATATATATATCAAAAAGCTTCAGAATTTATCCGATGGAACTTTTTACATTTGCAAACCAAAAAAAAAAAACGCGAAATCGGTTAAGGTTCAATCGGCTCTGACCGGTAGGTTTAATAACATAAAATCCCAAGTAGATAAAATACATTGTTCTTCCAAAACCCAAAATAGAAAAGATGATCAAGTTATTAAGAACATTGACTAGCTTCGGTTCGTCTCATGAGATTGCCCCAACTATCACCAAGGCTCCAAACTTTTGAAGGCTGCTCGATCCAAGGACCGTTCATGATGTTCAGAATGCTACAGGCTTCACTGTATTCTAGCTCCGGCAAGAGCTTTGGTGTCAGTAAGAAGCACCTACAACAGCAAAGACCACACATTTGTTTCTTACTTGAGAGCATTTTCCAGGGTCTAGGTGTGAGTAGAAAAAGGACCAACTTACTGTGGTGTGTTTGGTTGACTAGCAGCTCTAACCAATTGTTGAAACATCTTCCGTTCGTTTATGGGATCCATACCTGCAGAAGCAAATGTATATTTTTTTTAGAGACTTGACTGATCATGTTTCCTAACAGTTTTTATAAAAACATTACAGTTTTTACCTTGATTAATCTCATCAACAACCCTGAAAGGACAGTTTGTCAGATCTTGAAGAGAGACGAGGTAAAGGATAGTTGAGACAGAACGCTCTCCTCCGGATTGGTGGTGAGAGCTTAGAACCTGAAGTTGCCCAGATTCCCTGAATTTCACTTTGATATGTATTCCGTATTGATCAAAGTCAGTGTCACGCTCATCCAATGAAACTTCTCCTGCAACAGCCATTTCTTGAAAGTTGTGGCTGAATGTTTCATTTATCTGACCAACAAGCTGTCTCAATGTTGGAAGCCATTTCTCCTTTAACGAATCGATTTCTTTCATGCATATGCTCAGATCTATTTTATCAGCTTCGAGCTTCGTCGAAATGGTATATATCTGACTTTGGCGATGTTCATACTCTTGCAGAATGTTCTCGTTTACGAAAAGGATCGAATTGGCTTGAGACAGATTGTCTTGTATAGCCGCTTCCAATTCTTCGACTGTGGTAGGCATCTCCATAAACTCCTTTTTAAGTTCAGGTGTGATGATTGCAACAGATTCTGCATCCCTCTTGGCAGAGGCTAGCCGCAGCTGCTTTCCTTCTACCTCTTGCTTACAATACTCAACGGCGAGAGATAGCTGCTGTGCTGTTTTCTCATATTGTTTGATATTGAATTCCGACTGTCTGATCTTTCTTTCCAATTCAATAGAAGCCATATGCTTCTCGGCGTAACTCCACTTATGAGCAACAGCCTCCACAAGCAATTTCTTGAGATTGATCGCATATGTATAGCGGTCAGCATTAGCTCTGGAAACCTGATCAATCAGCTTAGCAACTGAAGCATCCATGTCCTCCTCTTGCTCCAAAGATTCTAGCTTTGTCTTCCTTTGCTGGTAACGGGATTCCAACTCACGGCGTTTTTTCTTCTCCAGATGCGAAACATTTACAATCTCCTCCCTCTCTTTATGAAGTTTAGCTGCTTCTTCTTCCAAGAGTCTTTGCTCTGTTTGAAGACTCTTGTGAGTTTCCTCCATGAATGAAATAGAGTCTTCTAATTCCTCCTTTCTTGATCTCAGATTCTCAAGCTCTCCAACGTCCACCCCACATAATAGAAGACGTGATTGATATACAGAGTCTACACTTGCAGACGAATGACCACCATACCTTGAGGAAGACCACCGGTAATGATTGTCTGGTGTCCAAAAATCTGTAATACCCAACTTAGAGACTTCTTCAGCCCTCTGATCGGTAATCTTCGATCCAATGTACGAGTCGTCCAGACCAAACTGGGAAGTTAAAACCTCCTTGATGGCGTCAGGAGCATCAAATATTTGATCAAGCCGAGCATGGATCCCAAGAGACCGCATCTGATCAGAAATATGAAAGGGGGCCTTTTGACTGCCGCCAGCGCTGACATAGTTAAGAACAGGAACATCGAATCGTTTTAGATTTCTAACCAGCAAATCACGGTCCTCAGGATCCTGAGTGACAAAAGACTTCCAGGCATAATAAGGAACATGACCCTCCAAAAAGCAAGCGTTCTCTCGATTTGGAACGTTAACCTCTACCAAAACAGGACCATACACTTCCCTTTTAAACTCATGACGATTCTGTTGCACCCATTGATATGCGTCAAATATCCTTTCAGCTCCAGAGTTACGTAACGCATTCAAGAGTTTGTTATTTGCATTCTCCATGTCCTTCAACTTGTCTACGCATTGCCTCAGGGTGTGTCTCTTCTGAGACAAAAGCCTCTCATTATCCACCTTCTGATTCTTCTTTCGGTTCATGCTCTGATGCAGCTCTGTAATCTGAAAGCTCAATTCTTCAAGTTTGGCTACAGGACGTTCGTATACAGGCAGGTTTTTGAGTTCTTGTTCCGCAGCAACCAGATCCTCAGTAGCTTTCAGAATCCTTTCTTGGCGATGTTCTTCTTGTTTCTTCAATTCCTCCAGTTCTTTGTATGTTGCCACTACACGTGCTTCTGCCTCATCTTCTTTCTCGAGCAAGTTACAACGGTTTCTTCCATTTGCATCCATGAGATTCTTAACTTTTTTGCATTTTGAATCTGTCTCTGCTTTCTCCTTCTTTTGTTTTTCAATAGGTTCCTTCATGCTGTTCAAAATCCCTGCAGCGTCATCCAATTTTTTCTGGGCTTCCTTCATTCTCTTCTTAGCATCCATGTACTCAGCCTTTTTCATATCATACTTTAGCCATGGCAATTTCTTCTTCATGGAATCAACCTTAGTCAAAAACAACTCTCTCTGCCTAACACGCTCCACGTCCTTCTCTTGCTCATCAACAAGGGCTTTAAGCTGATTCAGCGTCTCTCCATTTTTCGCCACGGCTCTCTCAAGCTGCTTCAGATCACGGCTTTTGTCAACTAGCGCGCGATGATGGACTGGCAGCTGAGGATCACCAACAGCTTTTTCCGTCTCCTCCAGGAGCTGCACAGGCGTTAACTTGGCAAACTCGCAAACCCTATCTTGTGGCAGGAACTGCGTGAGATTGTTAACTTGAATGTTAAATTTCTGTATAATCTCAACGATATCTTTCTTACAAACTGTGTTTCCATTGAACATCCACTCAGACTTGTTACGTGTATCGATCTTACGGAAAATGGTAAGAATTTCTTCCCTGGTGTTCCCTCTGAGAGAGATCTTAACGTAGCCAGAATCTTCCCCGCGCTTAACATATGCTCCAACACTGGTAGCTCTCCCAAGAAGCTGAGGCTCACCACCAAGACAAAGAGCAATGGCACACACAAGAGAACTCTTACCTGATCCGTTAGGTCCAATTACAAGGTTCAAACGTGATCCAGGTTTGCATACCAAATGATTAAATGTCATGAAGTTATGAAGCTCGATATCGATTATATTCCCAGGCAAAAAGTCATCTCCCCCTCTGGATATTTTAGGGCGCTTAGCACGACGTTCAGACATCGTTGTTCAGCAGTCAAGAGATTTTAAGTTAACCTGAAAAAAAAGATTGAAACTTTCGTATGAAATCCACAGATATAATTGGGGAAAACAATGTAAAATCGAAAATTAGAAACTTAAGAATTTAGAATCTGGGCAATGCAAAAAAGCTAACCCTAAAACCAAAATTGAAGAATTGAAAAGAAAGATCGAATCAAATAGAAACTTCTTACAGTATCAATCTCAAATCACAAGCAATCATCAGTTTCACATTAACCATTCTCTCCAACATAAACCCTATGACTGAAAAATGAACAGTAAAACCAAAACACACAAAGTATCTAAGCAAAATCAGCTTAAAACTAAGACACGGACACAAAATTAAGGACAAAGCTGAAAGACGAACCCAAAAGAAGAATAGACAATTCGATTCGCTGACAAGGTTGAATTTTCACAATAGAGAGGAAGAAACTGACCTGAACAAGTGAATATAGCCGAAATCGAATATTCCGGAGCCCGAAATTGTACCATACGAGAATAAACCCTAGACTCTATCTGAATGGCGATTTCAGTTTATTTGGAGAGCTGAAAGTGAAACCATGGAAAAGCGAAAACCCGGGAAAAGGAGAAGCACGACGATCAAGGCACACTCTCTAGGTTAGCCTTTAAAATCCTTGTGGTTATGGTTCAATCCGGTTATTAAATAAAAACCCGGTTTATAGATTTAAAAGGCCAAACTCTTTTTTGTGTGTAAATAAGCTCTTAACACTGGAAGATTATCTAATGATTCAAGCTGCTAAAAAAATTTCATTATTTTTTCTCCTATTGTAATATGCGAAAGTCATAGTTTACTGGTAGCAGAACCAGAGACGATTGTTACATTTGAATTCAACAGTTGAAACCGTAATAAGGAGAAACTTTGTTAAGACGGTGTTGTTTTTCAGTGACCGTGTTGAAGAATCCGGTACACATCGATGACTCCAGAAGCAAACTCGGGATCAACTGCAGCTTTTACCGCTGTTCCTGCAACGGATTTAACATTGACCGGAGGTATTAAAAGAGGCCCGATCAGAGGAATTTTCGTCACCTCTTTCGGGAACAGCTTCAAGACCTGCATATGATGAAGTGTTTTGAGACAAAAAGAATGCTTACTTTTTAACCTAAAGATTACCAAGATTGATGCAAATATTTATTACCATTTCGAGAGGAGCTCCAATGAGACTAAGTGGCAACTTTATGCTACCGACCTGACGAGTCCCGTGTATGAATCCTGGCCTTAAAACCGTTCCTAAGAAAGCATAGGAAAAAACAACGATTCATCTGTGAACACGCAATGTATAGCAACGGAGTTTTTGATTAAAAGTGAGAATTTACACACCTCTGTTTCCGAATTTATCCAAAATCTCAGCTTCAGTTGCTCTCTGAAAATAGATAGATAAGTTGATCAAATAGAAATGTAATAACTAAGAACAAAAGCCAAGAAGACAAAGAATAAGAAGAAGTACCTTCCCTTCGAAATATCCTCGAATCAAGTTATTTATGACACCAAAATCCGCAGCTGATATATACACAAATCTTTTCACACCTAAACATAATATATAAGCGGCTTTTCTGTTAGTTTGCCAAAGAACAAGCTGCAAAAAGCTTATCTACATATTTTTGCAGATAACTTAACAATTCGAGTTTTCTCTCATTCCCATACAGTACAGCAAATCTATGAAAATTTACCTTGGTCTGCTGCAGCATTAACAGCATTGATGTTTGCAGTACCGTTAATTCTGACCATTTGTGAGTTGGAACCAAAACCACCAACGCATGAGATCTGCACAAGTTTCCATCAGAGATGCGAAAGGAACCATATGATGAAGTAACTTTTAAGAAGAATTCTTAATTACCACAGACGTAATTCCTTCTAGTGCAGGCTTCAGGGAATCGGGTGAAAGCAAATCACCTATTTTTTTAGTAGAAACACACAAATCGAGTGATTGATCGAAGTCTTTTGTTTCATAAATGATGAACAAAGTGAAAGATGTGTTTTCAGATCTTGGGAATACCTTGATGCCAGGTTACATCATCAACCCATGAATCATGCAGAGAAGATCTTCCGGACCTAATAAACAGTTCAAAGACTAGAATTTAAGCTACGAAAAGACAGTCTATGAGCACCAAATCAGATTAAAAACCGGCAATGATACAAATACCTACCTGCTAAGACTAGAGACAGAGAAACCTTGTTTCAGTGCCTCTTTGCATATGTGTGAACCTACATAACCATTTCCTCCCAAAACCAGTATCTGCATTCAAAAAAAAAAAATCAATGTAATAGATTCAACGAACGAGAGAGACAGTTTGTTTCTTTATATGAAAACACAAACAGAGATTGAATAAAAGAGAACTCTCAAATACAAACCAGAGACTTCCCAACAACAACCCCATAACCAAAGACAACTCCAAAACTCTTATTTCAACTGATTCTATTCTTAACTAGTTGTCTGATGTAGTAATCGGATTAGAGGAAATATCTTATCACAATGTCTCATGAAACTCAAAAGCAATGAAAAATGTATGGTCTATTACCTTATAATCTCTTGAATGTGTACCAGCGGCTTCAGACAAAAGCCTTTCATTTCCTCTCTGACTGATTGAACTGCCAAAGACATAAAGACAAGAAGATTATCATCAGTATATGCAACATTGTCAATGATTTAATGAAGGAATCACACAATTAGTAAGATCAATATTGGGTCAGAGACTATGCCCCCAAAATGATAATCCCTAGAAGTGATTCATTCTAACAGCAATAAAGATCAATGCTTTATTCGAAACACAATTCTATAGAATTCGAAAACCTTAGAAGAAGAAGAAGAAGAAGAAGAAGAAGAAGAACTCACGACATCGTGACGGTTGAAGAAGATGCTTGTGATCGTTTCCAAATCAGAGACCTAAACATCGTACACTTAAAACCCTAAAGCTGAGTAGCTCAAGTATCGTAGATAGAGAATTTTTCTCAAGATAAATTGAAACTTCGGTAAGCGATTGAAAAAACTGAAACTGCAGAATTCTTAAAAACTTTGTGGAATCATGAGTCGTGAACTCGCAATCTTCGCAGGAAAAAAAAAAAACAGAGACCTTTCACAATCACAACTGTAGACGACGATTGTGGCGGTCTAGCTTCCACGTAGACGATCTACGTGTCTATGTCTTAAAAAAAAAACCGTATTTTGAATAACTTTTAGCTCGTGATATTGTCAAAGCCTTATTTGAATAACTCTTGGCAATGGCACTAAGACTTGAACATTATTTATAGATTTAATTAACAATTATGGACAGATTAGCAGGAGCCAAACCCGAATCAGAGAGGCTAGTTCGTTGCAACTCAAATGAAGGGTCAAGTGACCGTGTTAACAGCAACAACATTGTTGATCTTGTGTCCAAAAATCTATTGCCTGATTTAGACCAAAAGGGACAACTTGGTCGAATTTTGAAAGAAACTGATGAGAACAACACTGCAGCTATTCTGTGTAAAGTATTGTATGTTATCAGCTACAGAATCATATGAAGATTCAGTTAGGCAACGAGATATTTGGAAGACTGCTTTATGTGTTTTATTACTTAATACAGTAAGAATTAATTATTAGAGTTTAAAGTTTTCAGTATTACCATGAACAAGTGAGTTTGGCTTTAATTAAGTTTTATTCAGTTTGGCATTGATTTACAAAGTTGATAGATTGTTTATCTTTTTGTATTGTTTATCGAATCAATTACTTTATAACATTTATTGATATATAGGCTATATGCTTTAATTTCGGTGGTTCTTAGATCCGATTCACATATAATGTTAGATCGTTTTGATATAAAAAAGAATCATAGTACTGTATACTTCTTGTTAGTGAAATCAGTATAATAACTTGATTCAGAATTTTTTTTCAAGATTAGATGAAACAAAAATTCTTCTTACCTTTTGGTTAAGAAAAGAAAATAACGACAAAACAAAAGGAATCCACATGGGTGAAGAAATTCATATGTTTGTCTTAACTCCTAATTATACTTAACTTGTTCGTATACCAGTTGGAAATAACATAATATAAGTTGATGTAATCAAAAATAAGAATTGTTGAAAAAATCAAAAGTAATAGTTAAGCAAATTATAACCAAGACTTATTTAGCCTAGTGAATTGTAATATTTCCGTCATTGCGTTAGCATCTAGATTTATACAACACAATTCATGTTTTTTTTTTTAAATACTAGTTATCTTGTGACACTTGCATAGTTAACAACCTAAAGACTAATTACATGTGTTATAGAATTAAATATCATTTAAACGTACAAATTGCCGACAAAAAACGTCCAAATTAGTGAATAGTCATCACATTGTGAATTTCTTGTTTGATTGATATTACTTTAAAATTTTCTGTTAGCTATTCTGCAATAATCATAACTCATAATTTAGATGTGACACCTACTCTTTTTGTTATAGCACGAAAGAAAATTTCACAAAATTTCATGATTTAAACTAATTCACAACTTATAAACAAATTTAGTCCCAACTCCCAACTCTGATATAATCTTTTTATGTTTTCTCTCTCAAAATCTCACCTCTTTCTCTCTCTATCTATCATTCCTTCAATGGAGCTTCTTCATTCTGCAACATTTCCAAGTAAACAAAAGCTACTCATCGTAGTGACAGTTGCCATAACTCTCTTCACCATCATCCCTCTTCTCTACCCTTTTCTTGAAGACCCTAACTTCTTCCTCAAGCAACAACCTCCAAGCCAAAGCAGCATCATCAAGCTCGAAAACGGCGTTGTAACATCACATGAGAGCTGCGACATATTCTCGGGAGAATGGGTTCCTAACCCTGAGGCACCTTACTACACCAACACGACGTGCTGGGCGATACACGAACACCAAAACTGCATGAAGTTTGGAAGACCCGACACGGATTTCATCAAGTGGAAATGGAAACCTTATGGGTGCGAAGATGGCTTGCCAGTTTTTGACCCGTTTAGGTTTCTTGAGATCGTGAGAGGTAAAACCATGGCGTTTGTTGGTGACTCAGTTAGCAGAAACCACATGCAGTCTTTGATCTGCCTTCTCTCTCAGGTAACAGCTTTTTTCTTACTTTTTTTTCTTTTGCCTTTTATTGAATATCTACAATGATAACCCTCAAAAAAAGAAAAACATTTGTTTGTTAAGTTAATCTTTTTCTTTTCTAGCATAATTTTGAGTTTTTTAAATAAGAAATTTTATATATGATGTAAACAGATCGGAGTATTGTTTTTTTCATTAAACCCTCTTTTATAGTCATTAAACCTTCTTTAGAGAATTCTAAGTTTAACGAGCCAAAAAAATGCAATAAAATGAGTAAATTATATTTTAGTACTCATGCACCAAAGAATATTATATAACCACTCGTGACTTCGAAGTAACATTCTAATTGATGAGCTTCTATAACTCGAATCATTAGATCATAGACTCACATATACATGATTTAATTATTAGTTGAAGTTACACTTTTGATAAAGTAGTATAAACGAAGTTAGATGTGCATCATTACTTTTATCAAATATCATTATTTTAAGAAGTGTTATATACATATATTAATTAACTTGACATCTACAATGTTATTACCTAAACTCGATACAAACTTTATAACTTACTAGTAACTACCCAATTATTTGCTTAAAATAAAAGATTGGTACGTGCATAAAAGTGATTTTGGTTCACCGGTGCCACAATGGAACAATTATTGAAATAATGTTTTCTTATACTAAAAAAAAGTGGTTATGAAACAGAAATGGGAGCAGTCGGTCCAATGATTTAGATGTTTTAATATAATCAGGTTACTTATGTTTAAAGGTTCTGGGAAAAAAAAAAAAAGAGGAGAAATACACATTGACATTTCACAGGAGTCCATTGGTCATTTTGGCTTTATGTAGTTGGATGAGCAAATTGCGTAAACAATACCAAACATGGATGTCTTGTCCAGCCTCTTATTTGTTCAATTTCGGTTGGATTCTTGTACACTAAATATAGCCATATAGGAATCGAATCTCATCTGATTTGGTTACGTTTTATTTTTTTTAATTAAAAGAAATTCAAGTTTTATTTTGGTAAGATTTGGCTCGTTTTTCTTACAATTTGTTCAAATTTTAAAAATGAAACCAAATTGATTTTTCTTTTCCATCTGTCCGGACTAGAGATCCCTCGTATTACTTGGTTTCTCGAGAATAAACTAGATTTAACATTTCAGGTTGAGTATCCGATGGATGCTTCCGTTAAGGATGACGATTATTTCAAACGATGGACATACGAAACATACAACTTCACGATCGCCGCATTTTGGACACCACACTTGGTAAAGTCCAAAGAACCCGACCAGACCCAGACCGAGCATACTGATATTTTCGACCTATACCTCGACGAGGCAGACGAGAGTTGGACAGCCGATATAGGAGATTTTGACTACGTGATTATCTCATCTGGTCACTGGCATTACCGGCCATCAGTCTACTACGAAAACCGGACAATCACCGGTTGCCATTATTGCCAATTACCGAACATAACCGATCTCACAATGTTTTACGGGTATAGAAAAGCGTTTAGAACCGCGTTTAAAGCGATCTTGGACTCGGAAAGCTTCAAAGGGGTAATGTACTTACGAAGTTTTGCACCATCGCATTTTGAGGGCGGGTTATGGAACGAAGGAGGAAATTGTTTGAGGAAACAACCTTATAAGAGTAACGAGAGTCAAGACGAAACGACAATGAAGCTACACATGATTCAGTTGGAAGAATTTTGGAGAGCTGAAGAAGAAGCGAAGAAGAAAGGGAAGAGGTTAAGACTACTAGATACGACCCAAGCAATGTGGCTTAGACCCGATGGTCACCCAAGCCGCTATGGCCATATGCCAGAGGCCAATGTCATGTTGTACAACGACTGTGTTCACTGGTGCTTGCCCGGTCCTATCGACAACCTCAATGACTTCTTGCTCGCTATGCTAAAGAGAGAAGAAGACAAAGGATTACTGGCTCAAGTTCGGAAAATGCTGTCCTAATGACCTAGCCAAATCAAGTTTATTTATTTAATTTAAAGAAATGGTCAAATGTTGTGCCTAGTTATTGGATGACCACGAGCTCACCATTATATACATACATATTTATGATTAGACCGGATACCATTGTCTTGAAGCAGACGATGGAGCTTCCTTTGTTTGCAATCCTTCAAAGAACACCAAAAGTTGCAGTTACATTAGCATTTGTTCTATTTCTCTTCACAATAGTCTATGCTTTTTATATTCTCTCCTGGCCAATCCAATCTTACCTCCATCAATCTCATCATCCGAGGCTGACAATCCCCCTGCAACCACTCATACAAACTTCTTCAGACTATACCTTGACGAGTATGACACCGAGTGGACAAGTCAGCTTGACCAGCTTGACTATATCATCCGGCCACTGGTTTTACCGGCCGGTTATGTTTTATGAAAACCAACAAATCTCTGGGTGCTAGTACTGTGCGTTACCAAAAAAGAGTGAATTGTTTTGGACTATGGATACAGGAAGGCTTTAAGAATATCTCTAAAGGCTTTACTCGAAAATTTCAAGGGTCTGGCATTTTCGCGGAGTTTTTCTCCTCAAAAGGTGACCCTTGGAACGAAGGAGGGGACTCTGTAGGGACACAACCTTACAGACGAAACGAAACAATTTCCGAAGGTGCGGATCTCAAGGTTCACGACATTCAACTGAAGGAATTTAGAGCTTCAGAAGAAGATGGGAGGGAGAAGAGTGGTTTGAGACTGAAGTTAATGGACACCACACAGGCAATGCTATTGCTACCAGATGGGCATCCTGGGAGATATGGCCATCTACAGAATGCAAATGTGACTTTAAGAAATGACTGTATTCATTGGTTCCTGCCTGGACCTATCGATACTTGGAATGATATATTGCTACAAATGATGAAGACAGAGAACTAGAAAGCATCCCTCAAGAATGAGTAGTGGAGACAAATATCAAGAAAAATTGTAAAGAAAGATTCATATAGGAGTCTCAGTATTCAAATGCCATATATCCATATGGAAGGACAGAAAACAATTTGACAACAATTATTGTATTCCTATAAATTTTTATATGCAGTATTTTGACTCCCTTGCGCAAACTAAAAGCACAACAGAGTACTCGTGTACACAACTTCTCAAAAGGAAATTTTGATGAAAACCAGGACTTGCAAAGCCAAAATGTAGACGACAAAAGCTGACCTGAGATACATAAGCCTTGTTTGGGTCCCATTTCTTGTAGCAGATGAATATGGAAGGTAGGAATGAGCATCAACTTCGTGGTCTGATGCAAATTCTCTATCTGAATTTGTTCTCTTGAATCTGTTCCTCGCAGCGTTCCCCTCAACGTTAAAGCTTTCATATCTTCTCAACAAATTGTTTAGTCTCTCTAACTCCATCTCGTTCGAGTGAATCTCGCCAACAATCCCCTCTGCTTGTGCCTGATAAGAATATCAAAAGCTTCTGTTAAGAAACAGTCTAAAGGGAAAAGTGTAGATTAATTTGGCTTGAGATGGACCTGCTTTGCAGCTAATTGCTCGATTAGGCTATGAAGTTGTTTATCCAGTGTCTTCTCTCTCTGAGCTGTGAAAGAAAAGCCTTTCCACTCAGATAATGTGAATGAAACTTTTTCACACTATCAACCTATCTAACAGAACCAAAAACAGATCTCTATTGAATTCTTACTGAAAATAAGCCTTTCCACTCAGATAATGTGAATGGAACTTTTTTTTTTTTCTTTCATATATGTTGAAGACGTGATGGTTCTGAATCGTGATAAACTGGTAATTTAATAACTAATCAGATCTGATGACAAAAAGTACCTGGAGAAGGCTGCTTCAATGCTCTTTCCTGTATAACAGCCCAACTCCTTTCTAAATCCTGAACTTTTGCTTCCATTGAACTCTAAAAGGAAAATATAACTTACACTGCCATCAGATATACAGCCAGATTAGAGTATTCCATACCCATGGAAGGTAAAATGAAAACTAACCAAATCGTTCTTTTTGCTCTCCAACTTCTCTAGCATAACAGACTTCATAGCCTCTGTATCTGCTCCATCTTTTCCATTCCCATCAGGCTGAATAACAGTTTCACTAGAGATTCTGGACTGCCTTGCATCTAGAGAAGCTTGTGCATCTTCCTGCTCAGTTTTCAAGTTTTCCTCCACATTTTCTAGCTCCTGCAAACCATATAATATCAGACAGAGCCCCAAAGTGGTAACACGACCAACAGTCATATCTAAACAAGACCACAGGACAAGAAAAGAACCACCATCTATATTTGAACAAGAAAATGTCCATCGTCTGATTACTAACCTTCAACTTTCTAAGGAGAGAACCTGCTTCATTCCTCTTCTCTTCAATTTTGCTCTCACAGATTGATATTGCATTCTCATATGCACTATTTTCTTCCAGAAGTGTCTGCTCTCTCATGTGCGCCTAGTTGCAATACCAAAAGAAGAACCATGAGGATCACTTTAAAATCAGCCAAAGCCATATCCATTGAAGACTAATCCTATAACGCAAACACACGATTCCCGAATTCAGCTTCACCGTTTCAATTACTCAAACCTGTTCACGAGTAGCGGAGTGCGAATCAAGCTGAAGAGTGAGAGCGGCATTGGAAGCAAGGGAGTGAGCAAGAAGGTCAGGTAGACGCTGAGAGATATCCGGTGGAGGCAATCTGAGCCGTAGATCTTGGATCGAACGGCTGAGGGTTGTCGCTTTCCGGCCTAGCTCATCGACGTATTTCTGCTGCTCCTCCGTGAATACCAATGGGATCCGATCTTTCTCATCGTCTCCTTCTTTTCCATTTTTACCGACGACATCGGCGGCCCAAGCTAGAAGTCCGGCCATATCTCGTCTCTTCTTCTTCTCCTTCTCCGTCTCTTTGGTGAGACTCGCGGGACGATGGCAGAGCTAAACCGGGTAGTTGGTGGTTTAACCGGGATGGTACGGCTATATTACTTGAATTCTATTGTTGGTTCGGTTAACGCTCAAAATGGCGTATACTTTTTCTACTTTCTAGTATCCGTCCAATATATGGGCCTTAAGATAAGGCCTTGTCTATCAAACAAAAAGAGTTTATGGGACTAACTCAAACCTCTATCAAATCAGAATTTTGCAAATTAATTGTTTTTTTTTTTTTTTTTTTTTTGCTAAAGAAATTAATTGTTTTACAAAGACTTTAAATTCTTAAAAATTAAAATAGTTTAGTATAGAAAAGTTTTATCTTAGATATTTTCCTAATAAATTTATTAACATTAAGTTGTCATGTAAGAAATGTGATAATTTGTTTCTTAAGAGGTGGTATTATTTTAGGGGTATATATGCATTGAAAGCAACATTTATAAAATGACTAAAAAATCTTGTTCTTTGCCTATTCAATAGGGGCCTAAGAAATGTAATATGCATTACCGCGTGTAAGCAATTTACATTGCTTGCAATCAACCATCTTCCTCCTTCTCTAAGCAAAACATCAAATCACAAACCTCAAGCATCTTCTTAACCTATCCACTAAATTTAGAATATTTCAAATAACCAATCCAAACCAAACATGTAATACTCAATCACACATAGTCACATACGAACTAAGTTGTTAAGCAAATATTTTGTTGCAAAAATACAAATAACCGTAGACAGTGGCGGATCTAGGAAAATTGTTTGATGGTGTCAAACTTACAAATGAGTTGAGTTCTAATAATTGGGTTGGTTTCAAGCTTCATAATTAAACTGATATATATTCAAATTTTAATGTAATTAAAACGTTTTTAAAATTTTAATGGTGTCAAATGCACCCACAATCATTAACGTGCCTCCGCCACTAACCGTAGAGAGTTATTGTAATCCAAACCATATTCGTACCGTTAATTTACATTTTTAATTTGGGCATTACCCCAATAACTTGTCTAAGTTTTAGCATCTAGCAAGTCTCCTGCACGTTCCCAAAACCTTAACTTGTAAACCATCTTTTATTATAAATTCACAAAATTTCCCTTATATTTTTCTTTCTAACCAAACAAACCCCACAATCGTCTAACAATTAATTAATAACAACCCCTTTACTTTTTGTGAACCCAATTTCCAAATCCGTCGTTATCTCTTTCTCCTCTTGACTAAGCAAAATGTTGAAAAAAGTGAGGCGAAAAGTCAAAGTCCTAATCACCAAACCCTTTAAAAAGCCCAAGAACAGACCTTCAAGACCTCCATCACCACCTCTTCCTCTTCCTCCTTCACCATCTCCACCACCGCCTCAAGAAATGTCTTCCTCAAGACAAAGAAACACTCCGTTTCTCTTCCCAAGATCCGATTCCTCTGTATTACCCGACCCGTCTCGTTTCTTCAGCCACGATCTCCTCTCAACTCCTCTCCCTACAAACTCATTCTTCCAAAACTTCACTCTCAAAAATGGCGACCAAGCTGAGTACTTTCACCCTTACATCATCAAACCCTCGACTTCATCTCTCTCCATCTCATACCCATCTCTCTCCCACAACTCTGCTTTCATCTACGAAGCTTTCAACGCCGACATCATCATAACCGGGTCAGATGGACCCGACCCGCATTCTCGAAAAACTCATCTGATCTCTTCCTTCAGCGATCTCGGCGTCACTCTCGATTTCCCTTCCTCTAATCTCAGATTCTTCCTCGTCAGAGGAAGCCCTTTCATCACCTTCTCCGTTAACTCCTCCATCACAATCTCAACGATCCACGCCGTTCTATCACTTTCCGGTAACACCTCATCAACAAAGTACACCGCCAAGCTCAACAACAACCAAACATGGCTAATCTACGCCTCTTCTCCGATCAATCTAACCAAAGACGGCGTTTCTTCCATCAATTGCGGTGCTGGGTTTTCGGGTATTATCCGAATCGTCGTGTTACCAAATCCAGATTTTGAATCAGTCCTCGACAGATTCAGTTGCTGTTACCCAGTTTCCGGTGACGCTGATTTCACAAAGCCCTTTGCTTTAGAGTATAAATGGGACAAACGAGGCTATGGAGATCTTCTAATGCTAGCTCATCCTCTTCATCTCAAGCTTTTATCAAACAACGATTGTTCAATCGCAGTTCTAGACAATTTCAGATACAACAGCATCGACGGAGATTTAGTAGGTGTCGTCGGAGATTCATGGGTTTTGAAACCAGACCCTGTTTCGGTAACATGGCACTCTATCAAAGGAGTTCAAGAAGATTCTCACCAAGAGATTATCTCAGCTCTAATCAAAGACGTAAACGCTTTAGATTCATCAGCTCCGGTCACGGACTCTTCGTATTTTTACGCGAAATTGATCGCTAGAGCTGCGAGGTTAGCTTTAATCGCTGAAGAAGTTTGTTATCTCGATGTGATTCCAGCGATTAGAACTTACTTGAAGAACATGATCGAGCCGTGGCTTAATGGAAGTTTCGGACCAAATGGGTTCTTATATGATCCTAAATGGGGAGGTTTGATCACCAAGCTAGGATCGAGAGATACAGGAGCAGATTTTGGGTTTGGGATTTATAATGATCATCATTATCATTTAGGCTACTTTGTTTATGCGATTGCTGTGCTTGCAAAGATTGATCCTTTATGGGGAAAGAGATACAAACCTCAAGCGTATACTTTAATGGCGGATTACATGACGTTGGGGAAGAAAGGAGCTAAGTCGAATTCGAATTACCCGCGTTTGAGATGTTTTGATCTTTTCAAGCTTCATTCTTGGGCTGGAGGGTTAACGGAGTTCGCAGACGGGAGGAATCAGGAGAGTACGAGTGAGGCTGTGAATGCGTATTACTCCGCCGCTTTGTTGGGGTTGGCTTACGGTGATACACATCTGGTGGCGGCCGCTTCGACGGTTCTGACTCTGGAGATTCACGCCGCGAAAATGTGGTGGCAGGTGAAAGAAGACGACGCTATATATCCTCAAGACTTCACATCGGAGAATCGTGTGGTTGGAGTTTTATGGTCAACAAAGAGAGACAGTGGCTTATGGTTTGCGCCTAAAGAGTGGAAAGAGTGTCGCCTTGGGATACAGTTATTACCGTTACTTCCGGTATCAGAAGTTCTATTTTCCGATGTAACATTCGTGAAGCAGCTCGTGAATTGGACAATGCCGGCGTTGGCGAGAGACAGCGTCGGAGAAGGGTGGAAAGGATTCGTGTATGCTTTGGAAAGTATTTACGACAAAGATGGAGCAATGGAGAAGATTAAAGGATTAAATGGGTTTGATGATGGCAACTCTCTGAGTAATCTTTTGTGGTGGATTCACAGTAGAAACAATGATGATGATGATGATGATTATGAAGAAGACGATGAAGGTGGTTATGGTGGTCATGGCGGTGGCGGGAAGTATTGCTCGTTTGGTCATTATTGTAATTAAGCTTTAAATAAATTGTTCGCGTTTTGGTTTGTTAAACAATGCTTATTTTAGCTTGTTTTATATAATAAAACAATGTTTTTTTTTGTTTTTGTAGCTACACAATGATTTTTCATCTTTTAAAACTCTCTCTTAATTACACCAATGATCTCTCTATGAGAACATCCACATATATATTCTATGTGTGTAAAGTATTACGAAGGAAAGAATCTGTCATGTGCATGTATGGTTTTTGTATCAAGTCTCGATCTTGAAATTCCTTCTCTAGAGAAGCTATGGCTGCTTCATAATCATAATGGTTGTTGATATGTTCCATTGCAAACTCATTGAGATATTTTAGACATCCCTTGTCATTATAAGGACATATGATTGATTCTTCTTCTTCTTCTGATCGTTGAGCAGATGCGAGTGACAGATATAATGATAAGACAAGCGTTACCAAAAGAACGTAGAGAGTAGTAGTACATGGAAGCACAATTCTAGGCGCCATAGTTTTTTTTTGCTTTTGAAGATTTCAATAAAGAGATCACGGAATATGGCGACAAACAAAATCTGAATAAGATAGATTGTGAGTTTGTGACTGACTATATATATAGTCGATGACCATAACAAAGTCTTTTCCTATTTGTTAATTGGGATCAAGTTGGTTTCTTGTGGATAAGTTAGTGCTTCATGATTATCGAGTAATTAGTTTTTTTTTTTTTACGTTTTAAGAAAATATATATTTTTGTGTTGAATTTTGTTGGAAAAATTGGATATAAAGGATATCTACTATAAAATTTGTCCATATATCCCTTTGTTTTGTAGATTGGTCATATAGGTTTTTTCACAATTCAAAACCCAAATTTACCCTCATTTTATTTAAATCCATTTTTGGTTTTCTTATATATTTTTCTTATGTAGATGCTTAAGTATCTCATTTGGAAACATTGTAATATACAAATGGATTATTAGTTAAAGTAAGTACGTAGGCATCTACGTTCTTCTTCCTCCACAGCCATTTTCCTTCTGGCAATTGAAGAAAGATGCAGTCACAGGGAGACCTAGATTGTAGATCTAAGCAAACTCATGAGTGTTGAACTATTGGCGCACCCCAGATGCATAAACCGTTTGTCTTCCGAGTTGCCGAAACAATACCAACACAATACGGTGAATTCCCGAGGGTGGACGTGGACTCTCGTAGCAGACCACCTCATTACTTGATAAATAATCATAAAGACACGTATTAGCCCTACATTAATAAAAGGTGTTTTTATCGCTTATTTTATATAGATTAAATCTTTGTTGGTTGCAACGGACATATAAAGCCGACTATATAAACCGCTTTAGGTTTGTGATAACATGGAACATACTAATATATCTTCATAAAATTATGTTTTGCAATTAATCGATTTCTTTATAGAAAATTAGGATCTCAGTAAAATACTTTAAAAATTAAACTATACTTCAAATTTGACAATTGTCAGCTTGGTAACTAAGCTCATAATCTCGTGTAGGACATTAAGTTAAACTTAACAATGCATTTAAATTGTTGCATAACATGCATAACAATTATTTCTTTTATTATTATTATTATTTTTTTCTTACATAACATTTATTATTGCAAACTTATATCAAAAGATAAAAAGGTTCATATTGAGATCTCCACTCCTTCTTGTCATACAATCTCCACACATCACTCCTTAAATAGATATACATCGAGAAACTAAGACACAAATCGTTGAAGGAAAAAGAAAGAATTTGAAGGAAAAACGTAGGGTATAGCAAAAAAATCGAAAGTGGTGGCTTAGCTTAGAGTTTAGAAAACGTTTTAGGTTTTAATCTTAGTCTAAAAACCGTAGACAACAACTTCTACATCTTTAGATCGTAATCTAAACAATTAATATTCATTTAAATCGTAATCTAAAAAAAATATTTTGTTTCCTTTTCTGAAGATTTACTTTCTATATTTAGAGAATTCTAAAAGTTTCAGAAAATCAAATCTGCAGTACCGTAGAATTTACATTCTAAACTCAGATTACAATTTCTAACGATGGCAGACGATGTAGAAATTATTAGAACGTCTATTCTAAAATATTTAGAACATAGAGAAAAACGTAGAATGCATGTTCTAAATATTTTAGATTTATGATTTTTGGATTTCTAAAATTCTCAGAACAGAAATCTAGTCTGAAATAAGTAGAACATGTACAAAAATGCAGAATACACACTCTGAGTTTCGCAGAACTCTAGAAAACGTGTTCTACCAAAATTAGATGAAACTTTATCTATCAAATAATCAACTTTTTAAAAACCAAATCTAAAAAATTTCACTTCAAATCACCTCTACTCTTGTATATCTACATGTTTTTTTGATTATTTTTTTAAAAAAACATTTAAATTAGGGTGTAGGGGTAAAATCGTCCAAACTGACAATCTCACAAAAAAAGTGTATATGGACAAATTTTTAAGTAGATATCCTTTATTTCCAATTTTTCCAATTTTGTTTCTAAAATAAAATGATGGAGTAGACGTGGCTGCAAGTTTGGATAAGGTGGCTCTAGTACTCCGGTTTATCTTTTGTTTATCCAAATATAGATTAGTTTTTTTTTTTTTTGGTTCACTGGTAATATTAAAATTTCAAATACGTTTGTGATGCTCGTATAGTTTTACCATGTATGTTAATGCAGAACAAAAAAAGAAGAAGATAAAACCATGGTATGATTTCCAGTGGTTGGTGGATCGTGATTCGTGAACTTTCTCTAAGATTCGGAAATACTCGTCACACTTTGGACCCACGAGTTTTAGAACGTGGTAAGAGTACTAGCTTCCAAAGTCGTCTCTCTACTCCATCCAGTCACAAATGACTAACAAATGTTACAAAATAATCAAATATTTTCGAAACAAATTCATTAATTTTTAACATCAAATAACATCATTACATGATACACTAAGATCCAGTAATTTTGGTATTCGACATTTGATCCTCTTTAGTTTAATCACACACTTCATTACATGATAAAACGTTATTAAACAAGCGTTAAAAGCAACGTCGTCTTGTACAACTTTTGGGGTTATATCTCTACACACTTCATTTTTTCTCGTGGAGAAGGAAATGGAAAGCGCACAAAAGCGAAGATGACAAAAAAAGTTTGAAATTCAAAAGAGAAGCAGCACGAAGAAGACGAAGAATTCGAGATCCGAGAAGAAGAAGATGCACTTCCCTCTTCAGACTCAGCAGCCGGAGCAGCGATGCCGGCCAATGACCTCGACGGTATCGGAGATCGAGGAAGTTATACCCGATGAGGACTCCGATAGAACGACTCTTCTTAACGGTGAACCGTTGCGTCGTCGAGTTTCCGGTAACTTACGGGTGGACGAAGGACCTCGTCGGATTTTCCGGCAGCAATCGTTCGGCCGCGATATCGGCCACGCGGCAGCTGAGACGTACCTAATTACTGGACTTAGCTTCAAGCTTCTTCGTTACCTCGGGTACTACTGATCTCGATTTTCTCGTTTTTGGAATTAGGTATATTGATGATTACGCTTAGGGAATTCGTGAATGGTTGTAGATATTAGCAAAGAAATTTATGAACATGTGATGTTTTAGTTGCAAAGAATCCAAAGGAAATTTAATTTAGTTGCGTGAGATTTGAGGACTTTACTCTAATTAGGAAAGTTACTCCATGTGCATGTTGTTTTGCTCTTAATCTATGAACATGTGATGCTTTAGTTGCAGAGATTCGCATTTAGTTCATGTAACTTCAAAGCCTTGAAAATTCGATTCTACTTTCAATTTGTTGAAATCTAATACTGATTTTTTTTTGTTTTTTTAAACAATTTACACTTCAGCAAGAAGTTATCTTATTGTTAATTTTTTTTGGTTCAGGGTAGGCTATCGATGGATGACAAAATTACTTGCCCTTACATGTTACGCTATGCTGCTTATGCCTGGCTTTCTTCAAGGTTTCATTTTTCTTTTTTGTCTTTCCTGATAAATAAATTCATACAGATGAGTTATTTTTACATTGTTTTTCACTGGGAAATTAGTTTTTGATTCCTCATCTCAAGTTTGTATTATTTTCTGCAGTTGCATATAGTTATTTTTTCTCAAAACAAGTCCGGAGGAGTATAGTGTATGGAGATCAACCAAGGAACAGGTTTGTGTGTGTGTGAACTGAATAGAATCTTACCTTTTCCTTTCACTCCGCCTAAAGCGGTATGTTGAATGCCTGAACGGGCGACTCTTTAGGCTGGATCTGTACTTGCCAAGCAACAACGATGGCTTGAAGCCGGTTGTGGTTTTTGTGACGGGTGGAGCTTGGATTATTGGGTGAGTAGCACATCAGATTTACAACATTTTCCTCTGCATAATATTGAAGTTCGTTGGTTTTGCAATTTCTCGTGTCCCAGATTCAGTGCACAGTTATAAAAGTTTTCTTCTTCACTGTTCATTTGTTGATGTTTGAGTTAAAAATGAAGGAAGTAAAGATCCTGATCCTGAAGTCGCGTGTTAAATTTATTAATAAGTTCATGTTTGCTGCTCTTGTGCTGATATATAGGTACAAAGCTTGGGGCTCGCTCTTGGGAATGCAGCTAGCAGAAAGGGATATCATTGTAGCATGCCTTGACTACAGGTAAAGAATTACACAATTCAAAAAACTAGTCGTCTTTTATAAATATTACTTACTCTACTCTGGATTTTACTTATGTGGTATAGTCCACAGATTCAAATTTTTTTTTAGCTCTGTTTGTAGCTTTTTGGTATTTGAAGATTATCGAAAATCTTGATTTCTGACATGCATTTACCAAGCAATCCGTTCTTTTTGGTCTAGGAACTTTCCTCAGGGAACAATTAGTGATATGGTGACTGATGCTTCTCAAGGAATCTCATTTGTCTGCAATCACATCTCTGCATTTGGAGGTGACCCCAACAGGTTTCAACTCATTGGCTTTGGTTTTAATTACCATTTGATCTTTTCATTTGGTCTCTCGGCTATTGAAGTGCATGTATGTGCTTGTCCCTGTAGGATCTACCTGATGGGGCAATCAGCTGGTGCCCATATAGCCGCTTGTGCTCTGTTGGACCAAGCTACTAAAGAATCAAAAGGAGAAAGCATCTCCTGGAGGGTGTCCCAGATAAAAGCTTATTTCGGATTATCTGGAGGGTAACTTCTAAACTTAATTATATGTGCTTTTTTGGTATACATACAGCAGTCGACCTGCTTATCATTTTGAACTTGAACAGGTACAATCTATACAATTTGGTTGATCACTTCCATAATCGGGGACTGTATCGCTCGATTTTCCTAAGGTAAATTCTCGGATAGTTAAATCCTAAATGATCAGTTATTTATCTTTCTAATGTTCAACTCCAATTTGTAGCATAATGGAAGGAGAGGAGTCCTTTAAAAAATTCTCTCCAGAAGTAAGATTGAAAGACCCCATTGTTGGAAAAGCTGCGACTCTATTGCCTCCTATTATACTTTTCCATGGATCCTCAGATTATTCCATACCATGCGATGAAAGGTATATATGATGATTTTAAGTCATAGTTTGCTATTGATCCATTTGGTTTACTAAAACCAGCTCTTTTGGCAGCAAAACTTTTACAGACGCTCTCCAAGCTGTTGGAGCCAAAGCCGAGCTTGTTTTATACAGCGGAAAGACACATACCGATTTATTTCTTCAGGTAAAGCCACAGAAACTACCTTACATTGTGTCACACACACACACACAAAGACTAAGCTCCGAGTGGGTATAATAAACTCATGAGAGTATTTGTTTCTAGGATCCCTTAAGAGGCGGTAAAGACGAACTCTTTGATGACATAGTCTCTGTGATACATGCGGAGGACAATGACGCGCTGACGAAAGACTCATTGGCTCCTCCCAGAAAGCGTCTTGTCCCAGAGTTGTTACTGAAACTGGCTCGTGAGGTTAGCCCTTTCTGACTGCCAAAAAAACGAAAAGAAGCTTGTTTGTTGATCATCAGTTTTTTTACCTTTGTTAGTTGCTGTGTGTTTTAATTGCATGATGTAAATAAAAACAAACGTTGTGGATCCACAACTATTTTATTTGACCCATGTAGATTTGAACACATCAATATGATTACGTCCACAAGTTTGAAATCTAATAAAAGCTTAAAATAGATAATATCGAGTTTTATCATATTCTCAAAAGGTGATAGTGATGTGACTAACACTTGATAGACTCGTGCATGTTTTGTTACTATGAATATGATGGTGATCATATGCAAATTGGACTTGTATAAACAGACCAGGTGATGTTGATTTAACTTAACCTTATTCACCTTAATATGGACCCACCATTTGCTTCAACTTGTGGCTTATGTTCTTCCTAATCTCTAGACTCGAAGCGACTTGGTAGATTCCAATTGGCTCTTTCGATCTCAACCGTTGGCCACATCAGCTTGACCGACTTAATGTGGAAGGCAACAAAGTTAGGACAGGCCATATTATCTTCAATACCACCAAAGAAGACACCTAGCATACGAAGATAACAAAAAAGTTAAAGAGTCATCACTTTCTGAACAATGCTAAACAGTAACGATGCCTCTCGAAAGAAACATGAATAGTAGTAGGTGAAGCCAAAGAGCTACTACTAAAGTTTCCAGCTTTACCAAAATAGTAGTTGATGATACAAAAATAGTTAAAAGTTGCAACTTGCACGTTCCAGAACCTAGGTAACATGTGGATGGGTCCTATAGAAGATTACATAGGAAGGGGTGTTTACACTTATAGAGAAAGTAGAGTAACTATTGGTGCCATTGCAAAGATATAAGAAGACAATTAGTTTTGTTTTTCACATTTTCCTGATGGTTGATGATTTCAAAAGCTGTAAGCTTCTCTGCACTGGACCCCCTTCTCAGAAACTCAGCCAGCCACAAGGTGATCAAACGACTTTTCAAAGCCACAAACTTCTCGCCACGTGTCCAGATCTCAGGATTCTATCCTTCCACAACTAATATAACCTTCTTAGTTCCCTGCTACCTTTAGATACAATCTCACTCACCATCAAACAACTACAACATCTGGGTTAGTATGATGAAAGTAGAGAGTAACTGGGGACAAGCCTGTGATACATGCCGATCAGCCGCCTGTACCGTGTACTGCCGGGCTGATTCTGCCTACCTGTGCACCAGCTGTGATGCTCAAGTTCATGCTGCCAATCGTCTTGCTTCTCGCCATGAACGTGTTCGAGTCTGTCAATCATGTGAGCGAGCCCCGGCTGCCTTTTTCTGCAAGGCAGATGCTGCATCTCTATGCACAACCTGTGATTCAGAGATTCATTCAGCAAACCCACTTGCTAGACGCCATCAACGAGTTCCAATTCTGCCCATTTCTGAAAACTCTTACAGTTCCACGGCCACTAACCATTCATGTGAGACAACAGTGACAGATCCAGAGAACAGACTGGTGCTTGGTCAAGGAGAAGAGGATGAAGATGAAGCAGAGGCGGCTTCGTGGTTGTTGCCTAATTCAGGGAAAAACAATGGTAACAACAATGGGTTCTCTATTGGTGACGAGTTTCTGGACCTTGTTGATTACAGTTCGAGTGATAAGCAATTCACGGATCAATCCAATCAGTATCAACTAGACTGCAACGTACCTCAGAGGAGCTATGAGGATGGAGTCGTACCACTTCAAGTTGAAGTATCAAAGGGTCACATGAACCACGAGCAACAGAACTTTCAGTTGAGTATCACCTGTGGCTCCCCAAGAGCTCATCGAAGCTCCAATGGTTCCCTAAGTCATATGGTAAGCTTTCATATATTTAATTCAGATCCTTTACTATGACCAGCATCAACTAAATGTCTAAGAATGTCTTTGTTACTGTCATTAGGTACATGTTTCATCTATTGACCTGGGAGTTGTGCCAGAGTCAACAAACCCAAGATCGCCCAAAGCGGTAACAGACCAACTACCTGACCCTCCAGCTCAGATGCTCAGTCCAAGAGACAGAGAGGCTAGAGTCCTGAGATACAGAGAGAAGAAGAAGATGAGAAAATTTGAGAAGACGATAAGATATGCTTCAAGGAAAGCGTATGCAGAGAAAAGACCACGGATCAAGGGGCGGTTTGCAAAGAGGAACGAAGTTGATGCAGAGGCAAACGAAGCTTTCTCCACAATCATAACGTTTGACACCGGATATGGAATTGTTCCATCATTCTGATGCTGCTATGGCAAGACTAGACTGCATGCTTGTAAATTACTTCTGGTTTGAAATTCCTGCAAGTTGTTACCACGGTTATGCATATAGGCCTGTAGTTTTGTCTAACTAGTACGAGTTAATTAGATATATATTCATATTTAGCTACTAAGTTAAAACAAAATTTTCCCACTTGGTAGAAATCCTCTTCATTTATGAAATATTACCACCACATAGAATATTGCCCTACAGTCTAAATTCAAACTGATGCTACAAAGAGATATGCATTAGTTTAGCTAGCTGTACCAAGAACAGTCAACACGTAACTCACCTTGCCTAAGTTCAAAGCAAATAATTCCACTGTTCATTCCTTTCTTGGTGACACTTTCCACATCACTGTCTTTATCGTAGAAGATAAATGATTCCACTTATGCCGCCCCATGACATTTTCATACCTCCCTGAGAAAGAAGGTTTTAATCAATAGTATGATTTTATAACCAAACTAGATTACAGAGACTAGTGTGAACATGTAAAACTTAAGAGATCCAACAAAATCAACATAAAACCACACACTGAATAGTCTTTTTTCGGTAATGTACTCAGATAAGTGGGACTCAGATAACACGCAACCAAGAACCCTGAGTGAACAATGCTAATGGGTATAATTACATCGACGCATATTCTTGTTCCTGATTAGCATTGGTGCCAAATCCATTCCCACGTGGTTGTCTCGGATGACAAGATTCTATCACTCACAACCAAGTGCTAACAGAATATGTCAATGCCTATGGACCATCCTAATGAACAAAGATATTCAGTGTGAGAAATCTTTTTCTTGCTCTATCTTTTAGAATAATAGCTCTTTTTTCCAATTATATGCTGGCACTAACAAATAACAAGGCAAGAAAAGAAAAAGGGTGACACTGTAAAGCCTTCACTTTCTGCCACCTGGAAAGGGCCAGATCTCAACTTATCTACCACTAGGATAGCTTCCCACTTCCATGGTTAAGCTGATGAATTCCTGTACCAAATCAATATTTTTTAGCCATAACTGATTCAGTTTTAATACCCAAGTGTGTTGCAAAATCAGTGATCTGTTTTCATCATGCAGCATGAATTTATAAGCCACACAAGCAAACCAAAGATGAGCCCTGTTGCATATAGTACTAGCTAGCATATCAGGAAACTTGAAGTAGTAAAGTTTCTACTAAATTTCTTGTCAAGAAATTTTAAGATGCAATGACAACCACTTGGAGCACTAACAGAGTTTAAGCGCCAATAGAATGTTACTATTTGATGATGGATTCGAGATATCACGTGAAAGTGCATAAAAGTGATTACCTTTTGCCAAAGGTCACTGCACTTTTGCATTTTTCCTCAGATAGTTTCTCACAGCCATGGAAAGTGGAGAATCCGCACAAAACGTACAATTACAGCTTTATATGGTCCCTCGACTCTTATTCTCTTCTCAGTCTTTGCAGCTAAATACGCTTTTCGTAAAATCTGAAAGAAGGAAAGTATACGCAACACGGAAAACTGATAACTAATCAAAACAAATAAGCAATATTGTTTTCTTTCCTCAATCTCTAGAATTGAGTCACAGTGGAAGAAAAAAATGCATTTTCCTCCACATAATCTCAATGTCATGTTATCTGAAGGCCTACACATGTGAGAGAAGTTCCAAACCGCTACAACAATAAACTTACAGATTGTCAAGGAGCAATAATAAGCCAAATACCTTTTTCTTGAACAACAAGTGAAAAAGGCCAATACACAATTCACTCTTCATGAACTCAAACGCGTTATTTCTCCAAAAAAATTTCATAACAAAAGCACTAAAAGCCAAAGATGCCTCAACTTATCCAACTTGGCAGGATAAAGATCTCCAAATATGCATAGTAATGTAAGGAACCTAGAATCTTTTTCTTCAGAATTCAATGATCATGAAACCATTTCATAACAATTCTACATGCCATTACATTCCTCATAAAACCAGAAAGTAACAAGAACTTAAATGTTAAGTTCCAATTACCAAGCAGAAAAACCTTTTCAAAGTTTAAATTTACTCATATAGGAAAGAGAAGTGCGGTGTAAGCAAAAATGAAAGAGAAAGAGATGCGAAAAGTGTATCCTAGGACCAGCATTTTATACAAAAAAAAAACTCACTTTTCAGCTCTTGAGGCATAGAGTGAAGGAAGCCACTAGAGCGTCCGTCAAATCTCATTCTTTTTGGACCACAAAATGGGTATCTACATCCACTGGACCCAAAAGCGCAACTGGAGCTAGTCCTAAAACCTAGAGAGTATCATATCCTGTAGCTTCCACATAGTAAACATTATGAGCATAACAACAACAAGGCAACTCAAAGTACTAATGGTTACTAGTACAAGCAAACCCAAGATGCTGAACACATGAATGGGTCACCAAATAGCTTGCATTTGCTAACCAAGAAACTAGCAATGGTGCTTAAAGATACTGTGGACTAGTAAACGAGTGTAGCACAAAACTTTACAATTACCTCTGTGATCCTATAAACAAGTTCCTGAAATTTTCCAAACAGGTGTAGTATGAATTAGATTACTTCCACAGGTTGAGATCTAAAAAGCTACAATAAATAATATAGAGTATCATCATAAACTCAAAATGTTACAGAGATGTGACAACACTCATGAGTCATGTTTTCTTACTACTTACTATGATGGGGATCAAGTGCAAATTTCTACATACCATCTACGGACACCTTTGCTCATGTGGACTCCAACATGCCTTTCAACTTGTGCATCAGGTAAATCCCAATCTTTAGACTCAAGACTACTTGGCGGATTCGAGTTGGATCCTAGAACGCCCACAGTCTCTATGTTTTTTATGTCTTATTTTCCGATATGCTTCTCATTGCCATTACTTTATGAACCAGACTAAACATTAAAACACTTTTGATCAGAAAATCATTAGGAAGTTCCAATTGCAAATCTTTCTAAATGATGCAGATGCAATCACAAATAATTGAACAACTTTACCATATTCACGAGTTTGTCTAACCTTCTATAGGTAGTACACCCGTAACAGTTGGTGATGGCTCTGAGACTCGAAGCCTAACTCAGAGATGTACCTGGACAGTAATCACAAGGTTCAAAATGAATATTCAACTACTTAAACTTCGTATGAAGCCAAAAAAAGGTAAACGAATCTAGCTTTACTTTTAAAATTCATATGAAAATAGTAAAAGATGACACGTAAAATAGTAACAATGTGTCTGCACAGAATTTTCAGTTTCCGGACCACTTCCTCTTGAGAATCTATGTATGGCAAGTGGCAAAACCTAAGCAACTTGTGAACAGGTACCAATGAAGAAGTGCATAAGAGGAGATGTTTACACTTTACACATAAGCCTTCCCAAAAGCTCAACTAGCTGCAAGATGATCCAATAACATTTAAGAGCCACTAACTTTGTGCCACGTGTAGGCACTCAGGATTCGATCTACCCTCTGCTTATTCTCTCACACCAGATATAAGCTTTATTAGCCCCTTCTTTCAGATACAATCTCCCACACCATCAAACTTACTACACCTGAGTTATTATGTTGAAACAAGAGAGTAACGAGATTGATAGTGAAGAGAACAACAGGGCACGAGCCTGTGACACATGCCGGTCAAACGCCTGCACCGTGTACTGCCATGCGGATTCTGCATACTTGTGCATGAGCTGTGATGCTCAAGTTCACTCTGCCAATCGTGTTGCTTCCCGCCATAAACGGGTTCGGGTCTGCGAGTCATGTGAGCGTGCTCCGGCTGCTTTTTTGTGTGAGGCAGATGATGCATCTCTATGCATAGCCTGTGATTCAGAGGTTCATTCTGCAAACCCACTTTCTAGACGCCATCAGCGAGTTCCAATCCTGCCAATTTCTGGAAACTCTTTCAGCTCCATGGCCACTCACCACCAAAGCGAGACAACAATGACCGATCCAGAGAAGAGACTGGTGGTGGATCAAGAGAAAGGTGAAGAAGGTGATGAGGATGCCAAGGAGGTGGCTTCGTGGTTGTTCCCTAACTCAGACAAAAATAGTGGCAAGAAAAAAATCAATAACCAGAACAATGGGTTATTGTTTAGTGATGAGTATCTAGACCTTGTGGATTACAACTCGAGTATGGACTACAAATTCACAGGTCAATACCATCAACACCAGCAAAACTGCGGCGTACCACAGACAAGCTACGGGGGAGATGGAGTTGTTCCGCTTCAACTTGAAGAATCAAGGCGCCACCAGTGCCATAACCAACAGAATTTTCAGTTCGATATCAAATATGACTCCTCAGGAAGTCACTACAACGACAACTGTTCCCTTAACCATAACGTAAGGCTTTTGTATATTTGTTACCCTTCAACTTAGCATCTTCCCAATAAGCAGCAGGGTGTTTTCTTTCATCATACACACAAATCCATGGATCAACTGCCAACAGTTGATCTATAGTACATAGAATTTTCACCAGAAGCATATAATAAAAAAATAAATGCTTCCTTTTGCATCGACTCTCTTTAGTCCTCTAACCAGGGGGATTGAGAATGTTTTTGTTTCTGTCATCAGGAACACATTTTATCTATGGAAACTGGCGTTGTGCCGGAGTCAACGGCACGTGACAAAACAGCTTCACCCCCAAGAACGCCGAAAAAGACGACAGACCAACTACCTGACCCTCCAATTCAGATGATAACCCAACTTAGTCCAATGGACAGAGAAGCCAGGGTCCTGAGATACAGAGAGAAGAAGAAGACAAGGAAATTTGAGAAGACAATAAGGTATGCTTCAAGGAAGGCATATGCAGAGATAAGACCACGGGTCAATGGCCGGTTCGCAAAGAGGAGAGAAATTGAAGCCGAGGACCAAGTGTTCAACACAATGCTGATGTACGACACAGGATATGGCATTGTTCCTTCATGCTGATACTCCTATGGCAAAAATAAAGACTAGATTGCAAGCTGTAAATTACTTTTTAGTTTGAGATTCTGTTAGGTTTGGTGAAATTCGTAGCTTCAATGATTATTACTACTGTTATGCAAATGGGTCTATAGTTTTGGCTAATTAATACTATAGTATTCCTCTTTCTCTGCATTAGTTAAACAAAACTTGTCTACTTGGTACAGATGCCCATTTGTGAAATATGCATCATCAAGAAGTGTAAACACAGATTTCACCTTGCTTAACTCCTAAGAGGGAAGCCAATAACTTCCCGATAACCTGAACATGTGCAAGCTAAGTGAGTACTATTGTGCCACCCCATGATAATTTCACGCTTCCCTGAGAAGAGACTTTCACACAACATTTGAAATCCCATCAACCAACACGAAATCAAAATACAAAGTGGTCACTTTCAGTATGGTACTCAGACAAATGGGAATACATTAGCAGAAAACCGAAAACCCTGAGTGAACCATGCCATTGTGAATAATTCCATTGAAACATATTATTTTTCTCAATGGCATTGGAGGTGATTGCAGCACCGAATATGCATCCGCGTGCTTTCTAGTATATATTACTAACAACTACTAAGAATAATGCCTACGGGTATGGGCCATCCGCATAAACATAAATACTTACTTCATGAAATCTCTTTCTTGCTCTTTATCTTTTAGAATAAAAGGCTCACAGTCCATGGTATATGCTGATAAAAGAATGACAAGTGACAACGCAAAGGAAACAAGAAGTGACACTGTAACTAAGGATGCTATTTTTGCCATCTGGAAAGGGCCATAGAGTTATACTTCTTTACAATTCACAATTCCATGATTAAGATGCTGAAGTCTTCATGTACCAAACAAGAATCATTGCTATCAAGAGATCTGGTTTTACTCATATATGTTATCAGACAAAGATCTGGAACCGGTGTTACCTTGCCTTATCAACACAATTATGCGTAACTGTTAGATGAAATCTTATAATAGTAAGCAAAAAAACATAGAAGCAAAAAGTAGGTTCTGGTAGTTTTGCTCAATTAAATCCAATATTGGGATGATTTTGGATTGGATAGTGAAAATTCAATAGATTGAAATCACAATTTTTTGCTCAATTAAATCCAAATCTATCCCATATTGATTTTGACGATCTGAGATTAAAGGAGTTTACCAGAAAACCCCAAATCGGGATTGTGGAGTGAAAAGCCCTAGCATTTGAGCGACCACGATCGATGGATCGATCATCAAAATTCGAAATTCGCACGGCTACTCCAGAGAGATTCCAACAATGAATGAATGACGACGCTACTGCCTACTGGTATTGTTTCATGCTAATGGGCCACGACAAGGATCACAAGGCCCATTTAGTCTTACGCGCCAAACCACAATTACTACGACTAATCAATGAAAAGAGAAAACGCTTTCTTTCTTCTTCTTTTTTGTTGTCTATTATTGCATGTGAATGTGATATCTTATCTTATCAAAATGATCATTCACGATGACTGATGAATCTAAGCATTTCGACGACGAAGTTTCATAAAAGATTGCACAATAGATAATTTAACTCGCACTACAATAAACTGATATTTTAGAAATTGTAAAAGCTTTACATTAAAACGGAAAATTAAAAAAAAATTAGTTTAGTTTGTAGTTAATATGTAAACTAGAAATCAGTTTCCTATATCTCATATATTCCAATGTCAGAGGAAAAATAATTTCAGAAAGATCCTCCTCGAATTATCCTCACGAAGAATGCAGAATTAATTGTCACAAGTTCACTTTTAAATAATTTAGTTTTTATCAAGTATATCAAACTTGGCTTCTCTATTGGATGAGGAGGGTTTGGTGGTAGTTGTTTGTCTTCTTTTTTCTTTCTCTATGTATAAATATTATAATATATATCAGACTCTTCTTTTCCAAATTTATGTATAGAATAATTAATAAGTTCTTGTTTACAGTATTAAGTTTATATTAGAACTAATATATCTCTTCAAATGGAAGAACAAATATCCATCATTTAATTATCATCTTTTCTGTTCATACAAATAAAACAGATTGAAGAAATCTGACAAAACAACAGTAAAACAAATAAAACCCAAACTTTGGTACGTAGTTAAACCGTTAAAAAAGTGATACCAAAGAAAGAAAATAGATAGATTAGAGGCAGAAACTTGAAGTAATGTTTTTCTCGATCAGAATAAGTACTCATGATGGATGATGCGTTCTTGGATCATCTGTAATAGAAGAGAAGTCTTGATCCAATTCATCCATGGAAGAAGAAGAATATTTGTCATGAATCCCTCCTCCAAGCTTCTTCACGGATGTGATAACTTGACGAAGCTCCAAGTTTTCCTCTTTAAGGCTCAAGTTCTCTTGAATAACACGATCATTGTTGTCGGAGACTTGGTTAAGCTTATCTAGAAGCTGGTGGTTCTCGCTTCGAAGCCAAGCAACCTGTGAAAGAAGCTCATCTAAGTGTCTTTGCTTTCTCATTCTTGATCTTCTTGCTGACTCTCTGTTAGATACCATACGTCGTTGCTTCCTCTCATTGATGACAAAGATTCCTTCAGTTGCGTCATCGGAAGTCGTAGAGTTGTTGCTTACCGGAGATTGTAGGTTGAGTTCTTGAATTTGAGGGTATTGGAGGAGATTGAGGTTGTTGTTATTGGTTGAAGGGTTTAAGTTGTTGTAGTAGTTCAAGTGGAAGTAGTCTTGTTGTTGCATGTTGTTAAGACTTGAGCTATCGTAATTTGGCTGCATGGTCAATTTCTCTCTCTCTCTCTCTCTCTCTCTTTAGAACTCAAAGAGGGTGAGTTTAATGGTGGAGATTGGATGAGAAGGAGTGTTTATACAGCTGAGAAAGGCATACAAGTGGACCACAACTTTTTTGGCAAATTGGTGGCTTTCGTGACACATGCTTAAGAGGGTTTTGCTTTTGAAAATATAATTTAGATTATGTGATCAAAGACTTAACCCATTGGCCATGGACATGATGTTACTGATTGCTATATAAATTGATTAACGAGATCGAATAACAAATTGACATGTTGTTTATTCAAATCGGTTCATGCATGCATGAGATTTGTGAATGGGACTAGGCCAACGGATGCTTGTGTTTTATAATAACCATGGTTTTCATGCATGCTTGGTGTATCAGATAAATTTTATATGTATGTGTGTATATGATGACACATGGAGGAGCTACATCCTACATCATCATATGATTAGTTCAATAACCAAGTGGTGGCATCTTGTCGTGTGCATGTGGGTCTAGGAGAGGGCGCCATGGCCATCTAGTGGCATCTAACATCTAAATGATACATGATCATGATGTTCATGCATAATTGAACTGGAAAAGGTTTCTATATCATGCACATGCATTATGATGATAATGACACATGAGGACTTGGGTACCATATATACATATTGTGGATAAAATCAAGCTTTCGATCAATGTTATGTGCTTACATCAGAGAGAAATTTGTAGTTTTTAGTTGTGGGGTTTCAAATTATTTTAGTTTGGAAACAATGCTTTTGTTAGCCAACATATAAAGTGGCGATGATGCCAAATAAGTCAATTTATAAAGTATATATATATATATTTCTTTATT